AGACAAACCCGCCAAGAAGCCATCACTTTTCAGCTGTTCATGCAATACAACCCTGAAACATGAACTTGATCCCCAAAAAGAGGTTGGCTTCTTGGCAGTCTTGTACAAAACCGGTATCCAGCTCGAGTATCCTTCGGCAGATGAAACCATTTCTATTTCCATAATCGTGTATTTCCGCTTTTTGGTAGAGGCTAACTACACTGTCTTGATTGCACTCTGGACGACGGCGTGGACTATTCTAGCTATGGCTAGGCATTTCTCCTCTTCGAACTTTCGGCCTACGATTTGGACGCCTACTGGAGCTCCGTCATACAAATCTACGTCGTCTGCAGGAGTTAGTTAAGCCTCGGGTCATCGATTACAGTGTAGTTCCGAGGTGCAACTTACAAGCTTGCCAATTCTTCCTATCCATCTCACCCAGCGGTTCATACCCTTCATCAAAAACATCTACTCTCTTATCTGCTCTGATCGTGGGAATAACAACAGCCGTGTAATTCGTCAAGTTCATCGCATCAGTATACGCTGCACCATCTTAGCACCGACACATGAAACAGCGCCTCACACTACTAACCTCCGTGGTAGAACTTTCCAGGTATCACAGCTGCATGAGGCGCTACAGGCATGAGAACAGCGTCTACGCTTTGATCTATAAGGTGTTAGCATGACGTTCAAGTCTGGGTGTTGATAAGATACCATCTAAGTCGGCGGTGGCGTTCCAGTAATCGGAATACTGCCGCTCGTACTCAAGACCTTGGATAGTAAGATCTTGATATTTGAGTAATTCTTTTGGGGTTTTTAGATTGAGGCCGTCTTGCAAATCTGGGATTAGAGGTTCGCCGGATCGTTTGAGGTGCTGGTGGATGTCGTGCGCTCCGTCTGCGCTGAGAAATCCTCCCTGTAGCGTATTGTCAGTGTATTCACAGGTTTAAGGGACGAGTAACTTGCGTGAATGTTTGTTGCCGTTTCGTGCGATGGTGGTTTCCAGTCAATGACCTTCCAATAACCATTTATCAGCTGTAAGCCTTTGCCTCACTTGTCGGTGCGTACCTTGTGCCCAGCCTTCTTCAGCGCCTCAACCACTACCTTCATCCCGCGAAGAACAGGTGGATGTAATCCAACCATACCGTCACACCAAAGTACGCCCATCTTCAGTGGTCTCTCACCAAACTTGACATTTCCTTTATCATCCGCACGTCTTCGATACGACTCTGTTACCTCTTTTCGAAACGGAACCGGTATAACAGCTGGGTCTTTCAACCAAGGCTCCGTACCAAGAACAGCCTTGAACACCACCTCCAGCGCATCAATCGACGTGCCCATGAAACCAATCGTAGACCGATATGTATCCTGTCCTGGATTCGTATTCGCAACATCGCGATAACTGAGTCGGTTTGACGTCGGCTTTATCGAAAAGATCCCGCAAAAACCAGCTGGTATTCGCAGCGATCCACCGATATCTGTCCCAACGCCAACTGAACTTCCGCCCAGTGCCATGAGCGCTGCTTCACCACCTGAGGACCCACCGCAAGATAAGTTCTGATTTATTGGGTTTAGGGTCTGGCCGATGATGTTGTTCTTTGTCTCACCGAAGAGAAGGGTTTGGGGTAGGCTGGTTTTGCAGTATAGCACTGCTCCGAGGGAGAGTAGCTCGCTAACGATCTGGCTTTCTACCGTGTGAGACTCATCAGAGTCAATACCCAGATTACCGTCTATCCATCCAACGTAGCCCATTGTTGTATCAACGCCTTTGACGTGGAATTGATCTTTGAGACTGATAGGTAGACCATGAAGTGGTCCGAGCGTCTTTCCATGTTTGGCGAAGTAATCGTCCAGATACCGGGCGCGTTCGAGTGCTTGATCGAAGAAGATTTCATGAAGGCAATTATTCTGGCAGATGGTGTTAGCTGTATAATTTTGTGAGTGAGTAACTTCATTTCCAAACTTACGATTTGATGAGCGACCGCTGCTCGTTGACAAAATGCCCTCACGACCTTTGTCGCCGGGAGTTCTCGTTCCGATAGAGCATTCAAAATCTCAACAGTCTTAAGAGCCGTGATAGAAACTGTGTCTTCGTCAAGTAATTGCTCAATAAAAGATCCCGTGATGTCGCGTTGGCTTTGAGCTCGTTCGAGGTCCTCTGAGGATAATCTCCATTCTGGAGGGATCTTGTCTAGGGTGGCGGCGCGCTTGGCTGCTGCTCGAGACTCCCACGAGCTTTTATCCATTGTTGACACCTAAAATGAGTGTTACGGATGTATTGACGGCAGAGCTGAGGTTAATCAAATTCCGGAGAGATCTTTGCAGCTTGTACGATGCCGACCTGGCAGGTGAAAGGAGTACAAGAATGAATGACGACGACATCTGTAGTTCTGAGACATGTGATGAAATGGCCCGGCATGCACATCAAGTTTCGGAGTTTTACGTTAATAATACAATTTTTTTTAATTCTTTTTCTCTGCCAAAAAAAATCGCATTGCTGAATATCCCATAGCGACAAAGATTGCCTGTACAGAAAGCCTTGTACTCTGCAAACAATTAGTCTTTTTGGTGAAAGAAACTCCAATTTCAACCGTGGGACCTGCAGGTTGCTAAAAATCTTCTAACCCCAAATTCATTCTCAAGCCTCGCAAAGACAGAGAAAATTAGTCACGATGTCTTCACAATGATACCCATTCTCTACCGTCTTCGTCACGGGGCTCACGCCCAACCCACTATGGCGCATAGCGACGCGCGCGCTCGTTCTTCTCACGCAACTCATCCCTCTCGGGTATAGTCATTTCGACCGCTCTGAAATCGATACCCGCAGAGCGAGCGAACAATCTCGTGAAGAACAACTGTTCATCAGTCAAGATTTTTGTAATGAACGGCCCTACCAAGTACATCGAAGCAAGGGCAGTCCTCGATTCGTCCACATCATGCAAGTAGTTAGTGACCATGTCCTGCATGTCCTTGCTAGCCCAGCCCCAGCAACGCTCTTGGTGCAGATCGTCTGTCAAGCTGAGCTGAACGACTGACTCGGGGATGATGTATCGCAGTGGTGTAGGGTGCGCGGCCATTGAGTTGCCAGCAATGAAGATCCATGGGACAGTCAGGAGGCGTAGATTAGAAAAGTCGTACAGTTTGAGAGGAGGACCCTGGATTTTGAAGGCCCAGCGCACTGAGTGCGTTCCGTACGTAATCAGGTCAATAGTGAGGAGCTCCAGCTTTTCGAGTCCGAGTCTGTGGCCTTCCAAAGATTCGCGCAGCGCGCCAAGGTCCAGTGACTTGGTGGGATTCGAACGAGCCCTTGACTTGTCATTCCTTGCGAAAGCATATTTCAAGTCTGTGAGATTAGGCACGAGGGCGAGAATTTGCCCAAGCTCGGCTACACTACCCCTTTGGAGATCCAGATATTTAAGATTGTTCAGTTTCTTGGTGCTCACCAACGGCGCTCGTGGAACTTTGGGAAAGCCGGTTGAGATTGAGAGCCTCTCGAGCTTATCAAGATGGAAGAAGCTCTGGTAGGCGTCGGTGAAATTGAGGCGTCGGTGGTAACAGCTCACAGCGTGGTTGTTGACAGTGACTTGACGCAGATGCTCAAAGTTATGCAAGGTGCTGTATATCGAACTACTCTTGCCCTCGGGATCCAGAAGCAGTCTGAGGCAGTCTGTCTCAACAGAGAAGTCCTCGCCGAGATAGATAGTCTTGACCTTGGGGGTAAGAGCCAACAGGAGGGCGACGATAGAATCAATCTGACCCGCCAGGAAGCATTTGCTCCAGTGGACTGCGTCGTTGAGAAGCGAACCATGAATCAACGTGAGTGCCTTCAACTTGTCTTCCCGCGTGAGGGAAGCGGTGAATGTTGTAGGATATTCGTCAACGATTCTTCTGGGAAAGTCATATCCATCGAAATGCAGATGTTGAACAGCTTGGGCCAGGTCCGGCCGGTTCAGAAGAGTTCGTACGAAGAGGAGCAGTGGGGTGAAATTGTTTTCGAGACGGATGGGAGGGCAGCTGAGATCAGCTTCCCTGTGAAGAATCGGCTGGGCGATTTCGGCAAGATGCTTGTTGACGAGCGACAAGGAGGCCAAGTCATTCTTGGATAGTAGGCCCAAGACAGTGAGTTGAATCTCGACGGGGAAATCAAGAAGTCGCCAAGGCTTTCTGCGGCAGGGTTAGACAAACAACATCAACAGATGCAGCGCAACGTACTCGGGTATTTTGGGGGCTCGCTTCTTCGGGATGGAGAGAGGAGGCAAATCAAGCGAGGCACGGCTCGGGATATTGCGTCTACCGGTGAGTTCGAAGATCCGCTTCATGACGAACAACAAATGAAGATGAAAGGTCTTGAGAAAGCAAACAGGCGATGTGTCTTTTGTTGTGAGAGCAAAGGAGAAGTGAGAAGAGGCGACGTCGTAAGTTTGTTTTGAAGTGGCTTGGTAACTTGATGTTGTTTGCCATCACGTGATATCACTGTGAAGCAGACTGAAGGGTTTGCAGTGTCAAGCAGCTGCCAGACAAATAAAGAGCTCATGCACTCCAAGTCTAGTTTTTATTCAATGGTGCTGATTCCTTGCCAGTGCGTGGCAAATCTGCTGAGAACATGAGTATTTAACAGCTGTTTTGTTAAACATTATCTGACTGGAGTTCATGACGATTGAGTCCCAAGAGATGTAGTGTACGCAGAGTCTTATATTCTATACATTTTCACTCCACTGGATCTGGTCGTCTCCTTTGATGCAATCTCGTTCTTGATGAGGATCTCAACCCCAAGTCCAACAACGGTTAGCGCGGCTGGCGCCATCGCGGGTCCTCCTTATCTCCAACGCGGGGAAAGCTTCGGCGAACTTGACTTTTATCATTTATTATCCACAAAAGACTTCCTCATCATGATCAACCGCCAGAAATGACCGACGCTCCCTCAAATCGCAAACGAAGCAGTGTCCGACGTGCTAACGTGACGGCCTGTCAGCGATGCAAGTCCCGAAAACAGCGCTGTGACCAGTGCATCCCAGCATGTTCATCGTGCGCCCGTGCCGGAGTGCCGTGTGTAAGCGTTGATGTTGATGGACAGTCAGTACCTCGAAGGTGTTTCCGTTTCTCCCTTCAAAAGAGATTGCATGTTTACTGATACGTCCTCAGTTATATCAAGAACCTCGAGGACCGAGTGGCTGAGCTTGAGCTTGCTCTTCAAAATCAAAGGATAGATACTGAGTCCGTTGCCAGCCGAGTTTCCCAGAATGTTCCTGAATCAACATCAGAAGCGCACAGCTCTAGTGATTTGAATTTACTGCGCCTGCTAGTGCCCAGGCAAAATGACGTACAACACCCCGAAAACTCAGCTTACCATACTCTCCTCGATACCATCACTGTACCAGATACCATCAAATTCCCTCCCAAGCATACCGCTATTCAACTCACTGCCACATACTTTGAACACTCTAATTTCTTCTCTCCTGTCTTGAACCAGAAATCATTTCACGATACCATTGCCCTCTTGTATCAAGATCAGACGTCCCCCGGCAAGGGCACCTCAGTACAGAGATTCCAGCTTTGTATGGTCCTAGCCATCGCCATCAGACTTCTCAACAGGACAGATTCTTCCGTTCCCACGACTGCATCCGACTCGTTCTTCGCCTCGGCTATTGGAATACTCACAGAACGGCCACAAGCTACTTGGAGAGGCGACCTTGAGCATCTCCAAAACCTTCTCCTCATTGTACAGTATACCATTTTCGCCTCGAATCTCTCTGCGGCTTGGCACTTCATTGGTCTAGCAACACGATTGGCTATTGACCTTGACCTTCTCAATGAAACTCGTCTGTCCGTGGTGGACAACGCGCATGAGAATGAAGCAGAGGTAAATAAGAGACGCCGAGTTTTCTGGTCCACATACATTCTCGAAACAAACCTCTGCGTCATACTCAATCGTCCACGATCAATACCAGACGAAGCTATCTTTACCCCCCTCCCATCCACAGGCGGACCCGAGTCGTCAAGTCCACTGGCAAACCACTGCATTCTGTTCCGCCAACTCGAGTACGAAATCTTCCACACGCTCAACTACAAAACACCCGCGAATGGCAGCTTCTTTGATCACAAAGCTTGGAAGTTGGGCATGAAGGATCGTCTTGTGGAATGGCATGCGAACGTACCTCCCTTGGATCCAACATCGAAGCTCGCGCCCCAGAACTTCTTTGACGGCGCTTTATACATGACTCTTGTCTCTCTATTATCACCATCTCGCCACTTTCCTCACCTTTCGGAAGATGAGCTCAAAGATCTCGCACAGTATGCTGCTACGAGCATCGAGCTTTACAGAGAAGGCTTCAAAGAGGGAAAGTTGAGGTTCTATTGGCGAACGACGCCAAATCTGTTTCAATCCGGTGCAGCTTTGATACACTGCATCAAGAATCTTACGCTGCTAGGTGCGGTATTTGATGTGAATGCATTCAAGAGTCGGGTATCTGTGTGTTCAACAGTTCTGTGGGGAATGGCAGAACGGTATCCTCCTGGAGCTTCATACCGTGACCGCTTCGATGAGATGTTGGCTACCATTGATGAGATGGCCTCGGAGCTACCGATGGATATTTCAAGTGACTTCCTTTTTGGACATAACGTATTGCCTTCGTTGGACTTGGATGGGGCAGCGACGCTATGGATGTCAACGCCGACCACTCTGGATCCGTGGATATTGGATCAAACATAATTGTAACGATAGTCACTGAAGAAGAGTGATGAGCATACTCATTTCCATACAAACAATTCAAATTACTGATTTTGGCTTTCTATCTTAATCTAAACCAACCCTTAAAGACCCTTGAGCGGGTCAGGCGGTGCCGGATCACTCCTCAAACTCTTCTCAAACGCAGCCCTCAATCTCATAACCGGCTGCATGACCCAAGTGTTGTAAGCCAAGATATCCGTCTCCTCCTTTGGATCTCTCACCACATTGAATAGATATGGAGACTCCAGCCTTCCAGACGATTGGTTGACCTTTGGTTCCCAGACCAGATGAAGCTTCCAGTCCTTCCACTTGACAGCGCGCAGCTCATCTTTGATGTAGAACAGGAAGCCCTCACGCTGGGACTTGACAGCAGCGGGATCCTTGAAGAATGCTACTTGGCTGATACCATCAATGGGTCTATCGGATGGTGCTTCTGCGCCAGCTATCTCGAGGATGCTTGTGAAGATATCGGTGACGTGGATTGTTTCGTTGGATGTAACTCCAGCTGGGACTTTTCCAGGCCATCTGATAATGAATGGGACTCTCAAGCTTCCCTCCATGGCAGTATGGTACGTCCCGGACCACGGACCAGCAGTGCCTCTGTATGGGGGTCTGAACTCAGGCCCATTGTCAGAGGCAAATACCAATACTGTGTTGTCTCGAACTCCAAGGTCATCCAGATGGTCGATCAGTTGACCAACTCGGTAATCCATCTCGGCCATGGAGTCAGCAAACTCTCCCTGGCCTGTCTTCCCCTCAAAGTCGCGATGCGGCAGAGTTGGGAAATGTAGATGGACGAGTGGATGATACAAGAAAAAGGGCTTCTCTGCTACGACTTGACGTGACAGCCAATCTTTTGACTGGCCAACCAGCATTTCATCGATCAACCGCCTCTTTTCGAGATCATACACACAAACGTTCTCAGAGTCTCGCCCAGCAACACCTTTCATGATATACGGCAACTCGGCAACTTCAGGTGTATATCCCAAAGCCGACGTAAATTGACTCTCATCAGTCGTCCTTGGAATCCCAAACCACTCGTCAAACCCCCTGTCAGAAGGGTACCGACCAGGAATGTCACCAAGATGCCATTTCCCGTGGTGAGCCGTCGCGTAACCCTCTGGCTTGAGACATTGAGGCAGTGTACGTTCCCAGTTTGTAAGACCCTGGGGAAACCCAGCCGGGACAGACTGTCGGCAGCCGGTTCGGATGGGATGACGCCCTGTCATTAGGGCCGAGCGCGTGGGAACACAGTCACTCTCCACGTTGAAGTTGTGAAGAAGAAGACCTTCAGTAGCGAGCTTGTCGATGCGTGGTGTTGCAGCGCCGCGCAGAATGCCTCCGCCATAGCAGCCGAGCTCACCCCAGCCGAGATTATCAGCTAGGATGAGCACGATGTTTGGTTTTGATGGATGCTTGGACATTTTGGAATGTTTAGATTTGGCGACCCTGAGTTCGCCATTGATTCAACTTCATTTAAACTGTCCTGTGAGCTCATTATCCTCGTCAATCACGTATACTCTAGGGCTCAGCTTGAAGCCATCGGCGACTCGTCCGAAACCCCACATTTTCGCTCATCGCCGACGCTCACCTCCGATGACTAGATGATCCCCCCCGTAGATTATCTAGCAAACCCTCCTGACGGGTAAAGATACGCAATCTTGAAATTCAATGGCGTGCGCACCAGATTGTCTTTGATACCTTATCATGTTTGTGAGCTACAACTCTTGGTATGGTGATGAAAGGGTATAAAGACGGATGATAGTCGACCACTGGACGATCAATTCGATACAGAGCTTGGGTTGTACACTACGTTGAACCTGGTATCATCATGGCTCTGGATCGCTCTCCCAAAATGGAATCTGTCAGCGGTGATAAAGAAAACTACGATATTGATGATGCGCCGCAATCAAGTATTGCGCAGCCTGTTTGGACAGATGATGAAGAGAAGGCAGTCGTCAGAAAGTAGGTTGATATTCCTTTTTCCAACTGACATCTCAAGCTCACATACCAGACTCGACCTGATCCTCATACCTCTCCTCGTCCTCGGCTTCTACGCCCTCCAACTCGACCGCAGCAACATCAGCAACGCCCTAACCGACACACTAACAACCGATCTAAACATCACCAAAGACGACGTCAACCTCGGCGACCAGCTCATGATGGCTGGCATAATCATCGCCGAGATCCCCTCCAACATCGTCCTCCAGAAGCTCGGCGCACCGATCTGGCTCACTGGCCAGGTACTCGTCTGGGGCACAATTGCCCTGACGCAAGCTTGGGTTACGAATGTGCATTCGTTCTTTGCGACGCGTTTTCTGCTGGGGTTCTGCGAGGCTGGGTTCATCCCGGGTGGGCAGTATATGCTTGCGCTGTTCTACAGGGAAAAGGAGTTGGCGCTGAGGACGTCGATTTTCTATTTCGGGAATTATTTTGCTACTGCTACGGGGTCGTTGATCGCTGCGGGTGTTTTGCAGATGGGCGGTATAGCTGGCCTGGCTGGTTGGCAGTGGCTCTTTATCAGTTCGTTCCTCTTGCATTACCCCGTTATGGATATCGCTAACCTTAGGAAGTCGAGGGCATTTTTACCCTGTTAGTCTTCTTGGTCTTCATCCTTCTTCTTCCTCGATCTCCAATGCATACCAAACCCATTCATGGCTGTTTCGACCTCTTCAACTCTCGTGAGCGCGAAATCATGCACGACAGGATCTATCAAGAAGACATCTCCAAGACTGAAGCCCACGCAAAGATCACCGTCCGAGGCGTCATCGTCGCCCTCACCAATTATCGTATCTGGATCCACACTATTCTAAACCTCGTATCGCTCGCTCCCAAGGGCGGTCTTCAACTCTACGGCCCAACCATCATCCGAAGCCTGGGTTTTAGCAAGATCAACTCCAACCTTTTAAACTCGGTCAGCAGCTTCCTCGTCGTGTTCCTCAGCTTCGCCATCGCCTGGGCCTCCGACAAGACGAAGCAGCGAGGCCTGTGGTGCATGGCCGCCTTTCTCTGGAGTATTACATTCGGCAGTGCTTTGTTTGGATCAACTGATAAGGGCAGGTGGACCAAATATACACTCTTCACCCTCTTAAGTAGTGGAAATGCGCTGTCTCAGGGGCTGAACGATGCCTGGTTGAGTATCAATGCTCGATCTGCTGAGACGCGTAGTATTGGACTGGCTATGGTCGTCATTGGGAGCAATGCTGGTGGATTAGCTGGAAAGCAGCTATTTCGTGAGAGTGATGCGCCAAAGTATACAAAGGGATTCCTAGCTATTGTTTTATTGTATGCTGCTGCTTTGCCGATCACTGCTATGATTATGGGAGTTTATTGGAGGCAGAATAAGAAATTGGACAAGGAGCTTGTTGAAGATACAGGTGATGTGGATGAGCGGACAGGAAGAAGCCAGCGCTTTCAGCTGTAGATGGGATAAATCGCTGTAGATCTTGAGTATACTCTGTCATTTTGCAAGCCTGCCTATAGTCTCTATGTTAGTTCAATCGAGAGATGGACCATAACAACGATCTATGCCTAATGCCCTCCCTGTATTTCAGTCTGAGCTTGGAGGCGATGAGCCCAGGAGTGGGGTCAATTCAACCAGCCAGCCACTTCATTACAGCCCAATGAACTAACCCTGGAAGAAAAGTAAGGTCCGAAACATAGAATCCTCCACTTGAAGGGATAACAGCCCGGTAATTAATTTCCTTTTAGTTTCAATACTCCTTATCAACGAAGAACTTTATTTCAGCCCTGTCGTTTTCCTTTTAGGTCATGTTCTAATGTTTGGGATGGCGGGAATAAGTTCATGATTCTGCGTTTACAATTGCATTTCTCATTGTGTGTACTGTGACGGCTCTGAAACATGCTTGACTGCCAATCTTGATTTCTACTTCTTTTCGATTTGTCTAAATATTGTTTTTAAATCATACATGCGATAAGTCACCTACTATACAGAGAAACTAAATAGCATGCCTGTTCTCAAAATCACTTTCAACCAGGCGCACCCCTTCAATGACCTTTCCCATATCGGTCTTGTCAATAGTCCCACAGTCCTGCCTGACCTTTTCCAAAAGCTCTTTCAGAAACGTCGCAGGGCTCTTTGTAAACCCACAGCGACTCCCACGACCACCACCAGCACCATCGTCCGCGGCATCCCACGCCAAACCAAGCAAGTCACAGACTAGCTTATAGTCTTCATACGACGACAGATAAAGCTGCCCAGCGAAGAGATTTAGAAACGTAATGATGTCCCTCGGTATCCCTTCCACAACCTTCTTCCCCACGGAATAAAGTTGGAGATCGTCCAAGGGTCGAAAACTAAGGTTGACCCTCGGCGCATATAGGTGGAGAGTAACATGCTCCGAATCTTCGATAAGCGGAAGAAAATGTTGTGCCTCGAATGGACCTATGACCACCATTCGAGAGACACCCTCCTCGTTCTTCCCACTCAATACCCACTGCACGGGCCGTTGATAAGAGTCTGAGTAACTATTGCCACTAAACACACCTTTGACAGTATGCGCAAAGTCCATTGTCACCCATACTGTCTCGGGGAACTCCTTGACATCGAAGTGAATGGCTGCTGAGGTCTTGCTCAGACTTTGGAATGCGGGTTTCATGATAGTTCGGAAGGCGGTGGATGACTCTGGGAACGAGCCTTCTACTATCCACTCCTGCAGAAGCCTGTTGACACTATGGGTATCCGGTTTCAGAGCAGGAAGTTTTTCGATTTGGCGCTCGTGCTGTGTCTCTGGCGCCAGCTCTCGTTCTTGTTCTTCCTGCAGAGAGCGGGTGCGTAGTCTTCCCAGACCAAACTCGTCGCACCGCGACTTGAAGACCTCTGCGACGGAGTCATCCAGGCCTTGTGTCAGTGAAGAAAGGTCGGACAAACCCTTCTGGGGAAGATACCTCTCCCTCAAACTTTGCCCTTCATCTTCAAGAAACTCATCTGGTTTGGTGTCTTTGTCAGAGAGGCGGGACCAGATGACTTCTTGCTTCGAGAACCTGACACCCTGCGCAAGCCACAGCGGCATAGCCCTCTTCAGGTCAAGACATGTCTCAGTGATGGCCCAGAAAAGTACATCAGAGACAGAAATTGCTTCCCTGCCAGAGGCACCTTTACCCTTGAGGTGAGCAATTTTTTGCTCGATCTCCCAAGGAATACAAAACTCCACTGTCTGTCCTTTACCCAGCTTGCGCATCCGCATACAAGCTTGAACCAACCTATCTTTCGTCAGACCAGCACCAAGAGTGACTACAGCACGATAGTTGACAGGAAGCTTCAGATCCGTTCCGCGGGTATGTGCCTCGTCTAGGAAGACAAGACATAAATCCAGCTGTTGGGAGAACGGGGAAGTCTGGAAGTCTTCTATCTTGCCAGAACGGTAAATAACAACAATCTCGTCGTTGTCGTTGAAGAATACCACAGCTTGAGTGGAATCGTGATCCTGATAGCAGGCTAACCACTGCTTAGCGAATTCTTGGTTGGTAAGGTCGACGATTTGGGCGCCGACGTCGAGAATAACACGGGTATTAGGGCTCATCCTAAACACCATCTGCAAAAGAAGACTGCTATCGAGAATGGTACCCTTTGCTTGTTGGGGCATCAATGAAATTCCATTTTCTGGCTGCAGTAGGTATTCTAAAACAAGGGCGTTTGTATGCTTCTGCTCAGATAGGTCGAGCTGCTTCACACCCAATGGTAGAACATATCGTGAGTCGTTGGTTCCGCTGAATCCCGTTGTTGGGTTATCCTTCTTCTTGCCAAGGTCCCAACCAGAAGCTGACAGCTTATGAGGGAATTCCTTAGACTCCTTTGCGAAGACCAGATGACACAGGTAGTAATCCACTGCCGCTTTAGAGTATCGTATGTGAGGAAAGATTTCGGTAGTGCACTGCACCCGATCCCTCAAGTTAACTCCTTCCAAGCTCCTAAAGGCTTGTGGGAGCGATGGTGCAGTCTTAACCCAGTCCTGGTACTCCTGAGTGGCATTGTCCGATCTGCTTAGCAACTCGAACGCAGCGAACAACGCCTCATCATCGAGACCGCTGTAATAATAGCTCAAGCAAGTGAGCATAATCACCACATCTGCTTGACTAAACTCAGATCGCGGAGTTGGGCTATCCTTTGCCCTGAAAGGAACCGCCAGTTTGGTCATTTTCTCCCTGTTGTGATCAACCCCGTAGTTCACCCTCCACCGTTTACTTCCCAGTGCAAAGGACAGGATTCCGCCTGCGAAGAGTCCACGAAGGAGAAAAATGTTTCTGCTTGTCATGTCGGTCCAGAGAGAACTTGTCTCTACAGCCTTGATGTCGGCAGCTGTTGGCTCAGGCTGAGAGATATACCGCTGTATTGCATCTCGGATTCGTTTAGGCTGGCGTGCGATAGAGAAACCCGCCATACCAGTATCACATACCGTCTCAGTAACAAACCTGAAGATCTCGCTTTCGGCGTCAGGTCGTAGGATTCGCAGGCGGGGATATCTTCCAATTTGCCGAGCGTCAAATTCGATGGAATGCGGGTACTTGGACTTGACCTCTGGACCAAACTTAGCCATGAGGCCCATGACCTCCTGGATGACAATCCATCTATCAGGGCTATGTTCGATGGGCCTTTGCTGTCCAAGGGTGTAAATGAGTTCGAACTTGACACTAAAATTCTCATCACTCTCATCAACGATATCTCGAGAGGAGCGATCAAAGAAATTCCTTGTCTGCGACATTGCTTCGGCGACTTGCATGTCTCCGCTGATTCGAGATTCTACCTCCATCAGCTGGAATGAGAGTAGATGCTCTGGCTGCACCATCAAGACACCACCCTCCTTCATACATCGTTTCATGAGACACTGGATAGCATCAGCCGTTTGTACATTCATCTTCGTGTCTCGAGAGAACGGAAGCAAATACACAGGTCGATCAAGGAGACCTGATAACTTGGAAATCAACATCTGATGCATCTGCTTAGCCTGTGGTTTCGCGATAATGACTCGAACAAGCTTCGTCCCGTCTCCAAGAGCTGTAGCGACTATGGGCACGATGACCGTTGACTTTCCTTCGCCCATGTTGAGCTGCATAACTGAGTTTTGGTTCTCAGGGGGATTTATCATCTGTCCTGCAATCTGCTGCTGAACATCACGAATCATGATCTCGCTTTCGCATTCGAGTAGTAGCCATTCTGGATGGTCAAAGGGACACCAGCTTTGATGGCCGCCGTTTTCGAGTTCACGAATAAAATCGACGTGACTGGACTGAAATCGAATTAGACGTTTGGCTCGTTGGAGGGAAGTGATTGCAATGCCGTAGTGGATTAGGCTTTCTTTCCATCCAGCGGAAAGGGTCTTCCATTGCGCTGGTCTGAGCTGTTGCAGTAGTTGAGTAGGTGAGATCCTAGGGAGGAATCCAGCCTCTTCAAGGACAGTATACATCGCGTGTGGGAGCGTGCTTGGAGTCGACAGGGAAGATAGCAGAGTCTCCTGCAGCTTTGTTAGGTGAGACCCGCATCTCCCCAAGTGGTCTTGCAATAGACCTGGTAGCTTTCGAAGCTGTTGTTCCTTCAACTCAGATTCGACGTGGCCGTGTAGACTCGAAAGGCTATCCTTCAGCTCTCTCAAATACCTACGCTCATAGTCAAGCTTGGCCTTGGAATCAAGGTTGTCAATGATACCACTGAGCCTGTGAGACTGTCTGTCCCTCTCTGACTTCACGAGGAGTCGACCTAATGCTGGCGGAGTTGTGTGATGCAAGACGCCGCATGAAGAGAAAAGATCTGATGTAGCCACAAATCTCGAGACTGGTCTGATGGTTGGGATCAAGGTCCTTGGGAGTGTTGGTGATACCTGTATGCACCCGATCGGTGCGCCTTCTCTCATACAAGACGCTACTGCATCCAGATGCTTCCTCAGGCGAAGATTCTTCAGCCACTGTTTCCATTTACCGAGGGCACTTTCCATTGCAGGCCCCATATTAATATAAGATGCCAACTCCATGTGCGGATCTGCCGGCTCTTTTGGATCTTCCGAAGGCCATTGTTGTTTCAGGTGTTTTACAAACGTTTCAATGGCTTTAGCGCTTCTCTTCCTGTAGTCTTCTCTTCGCCTTTGCCCAAACTCCTTACCTCTCTCATCGAAACGACGAGCAGATGTAGCATCGGGACTGTTTGCGTAGCTGACTACATGTGGTGCTATGGCGGCACGTAGGTCCTCGTCTCGAAGTTGGCAGCCAGCTGTTAGGTTGTATGTTGATGCCCCGATTAATTTACAATTATCCATTGTTCGCAACTGGGTGAGTAACAGCAGTGCCTGGCCAACTTGAGGATCGTACCCTGAGGAATATGACATTGTGGCCATCCACATCATCAGCTCAAACTTGTCGAACCATGTGACTGACTTCATGTACGAATTGTGAAGCTGAAACCATACGCTCGATAAGTATGACTCAGGGCCTTCAAGCCAAGACGAGTCGTAATCGATTCTGTTTTTCGGCAAGATCTCCTTGGTGTGGACACGTTCGTCGCCACTCATGAGACTGAATAGACGATGGCCAAGACTACCAGATACCGGTCTTGAAAGGGTGCCTGACTTGTTGTAGACTCGATACGCCATCTCTACAGTTCGTGTAGACCTTTCGAGTGACTTGCTCTTCTCCCTTGATACGTATCTGACATCTTGTTTTGTAGTAAAGTCTTCTGCACCGAAGCCAGAGACTCGAGTTCCAGATGTCCGAAGAATGGCGCGATCCACCAAATCATCTATTGAGTGGTGTTGATCCAAGCTTGGTATAAGGTTCTTTGGAAAGAGGAACTGAACTTCGCGATATTTATCAAGGATATTTCGAACCTCCTTCCCGAATCTTTCATCTTGGATCGTGTAGCTCAGATCATTCCGCCACCGGACCCTCTGCATCTCCCGTTGGTCAGCAGGATAGAATGATCTCTTCGGCGATAATTGGGCAATCCTCAACAGCATTGTATACGCCGCTTGTGATAATGCTGTAGGAGCTCTCACAGAGGCGGAACCAAGGATAGTGAGAGCCTCTTCGGTCCCAGTGCGCTGAAGGAAGGGATCCGGGAGGCAGTACGATGTTATGGCGTGGATGTATGCAAGATACAATTTGCTTTCTACCTTGTCATTGGGTATGATCCTGCAAAGAAGAGGGTCTAATCTGTAAGTTTGAACTCTACTAGCCATTTCACGATCAATAGAAATCTCGGCGTGGTTCTCGACCCCGTAGTCAGCAGACATTTGACAGCTAACGGTTCCTTCAGGTATGATGACCGACCTGATTTGAGAATCATGGGAGTTTCGTAGGGCGAGTTTGTTCTCAAGGCCGACGAGTGTCCCAATGGCTTGGTTTTGATCAACCTCCATATCACGAAATTGCCGCGACTTGATGTTGGGTGTCCCCGGCCTAATTGTGAACTCAAGACGGAGCTTCGGTAGCTGGACCTCAAGCTCCTTGCTTTGTTTGTGAAGAACCAGATGTAGGTCCGAGACAGGCTGAAGTCGTAAGAAGATACTGGAGATCCTCTGCCCAAGCTTACTCGATGGACATACGAGCACGCTTTTCTTGCCAAGTGATAACTTCCATGTGCCAATGTCCTTTCGTAAATTCCAGTTATCCTTATTCGTGCTTGGCCAAGGGTCATTTACGTGGCAGAACTCAATCTCTCCAGACGCCTCCTCAAACCAATGAGCGTGATTTTCGGTGAAGTCCCCAGGAAAGTAACCTTGGAGTTTCTTTGATGGTATTAATTCCAACGTGAAGCCATTCCTGGAAAGATGTACAAGAAGGTCATCCACGCCCTTCTTTGTCTCCATACCAAGATGAACCGTATACCCATGGAACGTCTTGGTCGCGCAGAAGCTCATACCCGGCAGCTTGCTGGGCATGACTTCCATATTCGCAGTTCCGAAGAGTTTCTGATACTCCCGGTGAGTCTCATACTTTTGAGGAAGTCGTGAGACGGGTATTCCGTTCACCAATAACTCTCCTGTGAGAAGGCTGACATGGACTTGGAGGTTTCCAGTAATTTCTGTGGCCCAGTGATCGGAGATCATGGACCACTTGCCCTCTCGCGCAAAGTTAGGCCATCGTCGCTCAATGGCTTTATCGAGACATAAACTTCCTTTGGAGGTTATATCCTTCACCAAAAAAGGTAAGGCTCTGTGCATTGCGACTTTGTATCGGTCGAGCATAATTCCATACAGCGCATCCTTCTGTAGCTGTTCAGAGTCGGCATTGTTATGGATGATGATCGAGATTTCCGACAGTATCGCCGCTTGCTCTTCGTCAGCCAATACCTGTTCAAAGTAGTCACCCTTCAAATTGAATGTCTCAACGCATACGAGGGCGATTTGCACTGCCGCCTCGAGAAACTCCTCCCTTTGCGTGCGATGCTCAATATCCTGGACCTTAGACAACAGGTGTATCACCCACTTGTAAGAGATCTCTCGGCATTTTGCGATGAGGTCCAGAAGCTTTGATGACAGGGAGTTGTCATCAAGTGCAAGTAGACGAGTGGCCAAGCATGTGAAAGAGCACAGCGAGGTGTACGACTCCCAATTCTCCTGAACCCTTGAGACGCTCTCAGTTAAGTACTTCAGAATCTGACAACCGAATTCCACATCTGTCAGTCGAGTATGTTGGATAACATCTTGAGATTTGAATCGTCTTGCACTGGAGAATATCCACGTGCGTCTTTTCCTTTGACGACCTGTAAACCGCTAAGTCACTGGTTCGAATCGCAAAGGCATAGAGTGCAGCTCCTGTCTGAAATTAAACCGCACTCTCAGACACACCGCAATCAGAAATCTATCGAAACTTGTACTGAGGCTGATGTCTGCCTTAATAATGGCCTTCGGTTTCAGTATCACGATAGCTCCAGGAATACCTTTCTTTCTACCTTCAAACCAACGACCGAGATCTCAAAGCGATGCAACATCAAACTTCCAACAAGAGCTCAATCCTTGCAAAGATTTATCGCTCGAACCTGGGTTCGTGAGAACGGAGAAACACCCAATCAGGCCATTGCGAGCCAATCTGAGTGTCCAGAGTACATGTCACTTGGGGAGTTCAAGACTTTGGCTGTTCTGCCTTATGGATATCGCCTTCAGTGGATGAACATTCTCACCCAGCTAGCTATGCCGACGGTAGACTTCAACAAGCCTGAGACCGCGCTGTTCTTACTCCAGATGATGTTGCAAGCAGTCTTAAGAACCTGAGCTATCAAAAATACCATAAAGCGCTTGTAAAGCCCCTGTGATCCTCGTGGATGACGCACCATGGTGAGCTGAAGTCCAACACGAAGGAGAAGCCACATCGGAGATCTCGTCCAAGGACTTTTACTATTATTCCACGAAACTTCTTCACGCGTCCTCTTCTGAACCGCTTTAATCTCAGCTGGCGACCCGGCACCTCGCAGAAAGCTTGTCAATAGTTCGGTGACGATACGAGGATCTGTTGTGTCGCGTTCCTCATTGTGCATCTGCTGTGCTTTTCTGACCTTTGGCTGCATCTCTGCGACTGCCTGATGACTCATTTTGACGAGAGTTTTAGCCAAGTTCTCTTGGAAGGAGGAATCGTTAAAGTCTTTGGCGGAGATTTCTGTCGCTGTGGCGGGGAATTCGCGGATAAGGCGGCCTTTTGTCGTCATAGCTGCTCTGTTGGTAGGAGAGAGGTCAAATGTCTCGAAATAGTATGAAGTCTCTAATTTTCGAATAATCAGGCCTGCATTTTGTTCCGTAATATGATACATTAAGGCAGCGTCCGCTGTTCATACGTCAGTAGTGATCGGTCAAGGTTTGCTGCAAAACTTACCCTGCTCTGAAAGTCTCTTGAAGGAAGCCTGGACACTTCTAGAATCCAGATAGCCGTTCGAATCTCGAGCATCCCGCGTGTTCTTCAGCATGGAGATACAGTGATTTGTTACGGTCTCGTCATTGTCGTCCGATAATTCCCGGAAGCGTGAGAGGGATTGGATAACGAAGTTGATGAGGAATTCTTCGTTTGTTGCCATGGTATCATCATGCCCTGGTAACTTGGAGGGTAAGATGAGATGATTAAATAAGTAGTCGAGTTGCTCGTTCGTGCAAGACATTGTCTGCGCTGGAGTCATGTGAGAAGCGTCCATTTTGATGAGATGGAGGATGTAGTGGTTCTTGCCAGGGAAGAGTGTCGTAAAGGGAAAGGTGGGGAGGCATGGCATTTTATATTGTGTTCCAGATCAATTAAAAAAACGCTATAAAAGGTAAAGAAGTTGCCATGAAAACCTACCTATTACATCTGTGCTGTTGTAAATCCTATCTTAAGGTGAGAAGGTTTCCATCATTGGTTGGAAAGGCGATAAACTTTAGTTCACGCCGACAAAGGGCGATATGGACTCTCAAAAGCGCCAATACAAAAAATGAGTTAAAATATCTAATATTAATTGAAAGAATTAGAGTTGAGATCAGAGTGTCCCAATGTCAGTATCTTATTCGGTTGTATCGTATATTATTTGTCTTAATGAACATCACCTTCCCTGGGATCGTGCACCCTGTGCCTAGAAAAATATCGCTTTAAAACTACTGAACACTAAAAGGCTTGCGGTATATTCCAAAGTTTACAAGGCCATTTCATTTGCTTCTCAAACGTCATTTGGTGATGTTATTCGCTTTCTTTTTTGGTCATGTTTCGTGACTCAAGTTTCAAGATAACTAGAGTTTAGCGCAGAGTGTCAGAATCGCGGTGCCTGGCGCCGATCTCCCGCGTGCCAGCCAGAGCCAGACTCCATTCCTCCCTGAAACCGCTGTCTCTTGTCTGCTCGTGGGAGCACAGCACAAACCACCAGCGAGCATTTCTTTGGCACGTACATATCCACGTTATGACAAGTTTCCCTCTCGCATTTCCCCGTCTTGGCCAAAGTGGCACAGCCTCGCGTAAAACTTGCTCACCAAAACGAGCAGAAAAGCACGTGCGAATCTCCCCAGAGCGCACGCAGTCTCGGGGACATCTTTCGCCCGCCGACGTCACACCAGGGATAACTGCAGCGCCGCACCTCAGCGTGGCATGCCCAAACGCCAATAAATTAGGCTACAGAATAACCCCGATAGGCACCAGAATACACTGCATGCCGCAGCGGCATCCAATTACGCGTCCCAATTTCATGATAACCCTCTTCATCTCGGTTACATTCTCCTTCTCCTATCGCTTTTGGGCAGGGATGCACGGCCTGTGAGGCCCGGATGCAGCGGGGCCTCACATCATTTTTGGAGGTGGTTTGATGTATCAGCTCAGTATGCCGTGCGATTAAAAGGGTTGCTTTGACCGCTCAATCTCGTGTTTATCATTTCATCCATCTCACCTTTCTCTTTCTTTGTCCCTTTGACACATCTATGGGCGACAGAGTCGGTGACCATGGCCCTGAAGCAGAATGGCCTCAATGGAGGTGCTCATTTGAGCAGCGACATTGACTTTATCGCAACTCCCAAAGCGCCCGCTGACGTACTCTCTACCGGCAAGAATCCTGGCGTTCCTTTGACCAACGCAAGTCTCGTCGCATTTGTATCATGTCACATCTGCTAATCGCTGCGAATAGTCTCCCGCTATCAAGAACGCTCCGCTCCCCGCCGACGGCCCCGGATACGAACAATGGTCCAACATCTTCCTCGGCGTCGCTCTCTACGGCGTTCCCCAATGGCTATCATGGAAACTCGGCGGCGGCCTCAAACTTGCACTTTTTCTCGCCATCTTCACCACGGTCCCTGTGCTCGTCGTCATTTGGACCTTCATGTCTAAATTGAGCCCGCGAATCAACGATAAAGTCCATCTTCCCGGCCGACCGATCGAGTTCTACCTCACCTTCAAAACCGACCAGCTCCGCGCGCGATATACAGGCCGTCATAAAGTCCCCATGAGTAAATTCTTCGAGCTTTATTTCACAGGCCAAGTCGATCTCAACGCCGACGCCCTTGAGGTACTTGAGTATCGCCATGATTGGGCGACGTTTAATTTCACCAGCGAGACATTTAACTATATTTTATTCACTTTCTTCCCCGATGTTATCCTTCATTTGCGCTCGCAGGATGAAGAGCAAGTCCGCACCAATTACGATAGCGGAAATGATCATTACGCTTGGTTCCTCGGTCCACGAATGATCTACACCACCGGTATCATCTCACACCCCGATCGCGAAGAAACGCTTGAAGAAATGCAAGACAACAAACTCGCCATCGTCTGCCAGAAAATCAACATCCAGCCCGGCGACCGCGTCCTCGACATTGGCTGCGGCTGGGGAACCCTAGCGAAATTCGCAAGCTTGAACTACGGCGCGCACGTCACGGGTGTGACTCTCGCAAGAAATCAGGTAGAGTGGGGAAACGACGGTTTGAGAAAAGCAGGCGTTAGCGAGGAGCAGAGTAGACTATTGTGCTGTGATTATCGCGATATTCCGGAGCAAAAGTTTGACAAGATCACACAGCTTGAGATGGCGGAGCATGTCGGCGTGAGGCGGCTGACGGGGTTCTTTCGGCAGTGCTATGACTTGCTGGAGGATGATGGGGCGATGTACGTGCAGATGTCGGGATTCCGAAAGGCGTGGCAGTACGAGGATTTTATTTGGGGCTTGTTTCTGAACAAGTATATCTTCCCTGGCGCTGATGCGTCTACGCCCTTGGCCTTTTACGTTGGATGTCTTGAAAGTGCTGGATTCGAGGTCAAGAGGTAAGTTACTCGACCCTATTGGAGGTATTCACTAACTTTGTTAGTGTTGATACTGTCGGTATTCATTATTCCGGCACTCTCTGGCGATGGTACAGGAACTGGCTTGGAAACGCCGAAAAGGTCAAAGCCAAATATGGCGTTCGATGGTTCCGAGTATGTATCTCCACCAATCTAATTCATAACGAAATAGCTGACTTGAGAGCAGATCTGGGAGATTTTCCTGGCTTATTCCACCATCGGATCCCGTCAAGGCTCCGCTACTTGTTTCCAGATCGTGGTGGTCAAGAACCTCAACTCAACACAGAGAATCAACGGTGTTTACTCTCAGTATGGTCTGCATGGTGCCTTGGAGGCGGCTCGAGCGGCCGGAAAGGCTGTTCTGCCTAAGTGATGGGACTCGGTTGGGGGAAGTGAGATTGTGTTGCATGAAAACACTGGCAGATGCGTTCCAGTTGATAGTTGAGTGCATATTTTGAGCATGGTTTTGGCGGTGTAACTTTAGGTTTTGTCATTCAATATGACGCCAGGTAACGAGGTCTGGGTAGTTCGACAGTGTTTATCTTGATTTTACAATCTTTTCATGAGTCAACCGTGCACATATGATAGTACACAATGCCCGACAAGCTGGGAGAAGCCGAGACAAAGCGAGAAAGGTAGCATACAATACAGTCTTCTAGTCGTTAGTTGATAGCAGCATAGAGACCAACGACTCCTCCACCCCCGATAAGAACAGCCCTTACGAGATTCAGCCATCGAAACCTTTCCAACAAACCACGAATCTTCTCATCTTCCTCTGCCGTAGACTCCCTGTCAGTCTGTTCCTGGGGACCGCTTAGATCTGTAAACTCAAAACCTTCACCGGTTCCCTTGACAGACTCCCAAGCACTTCTATCCAGCGACGTGTCTTCCTCAGCGGCTTTCTCACTTCTAGCTCCACCAAGTCTATTATTCTCCTTGATCAGAGCGAAGTTTGTCGGAATCATGAGTTGAGTAAATGGCGCGATGCTAAATGCTAGAGCCGCAGCGGTTAAGAATGTATTGGCTTTGACAGTGTTTGTTGAGAAAGCGTAGAGAGGGCCGGTGCTTAGGGAGTTGCTAGAAGATGCAGAGTACATAAAGCCGATAGTTGATAGCAGTGAGGCAGATGGGAAGACATGTGACCCCCGACTGAACAGCCATCGGATAGAGGGTAGAGATCGAGAGGCAGGCTGAGATTGAAGCTCGGGGACGTCGAAGAATGTCAGGGTTGCGATACCACCTGACGCCATCAAGGCTGCGGAGATGGAGATGATTTCAGCTGTCGACATGTCTGTGAAAATAGTAAATTAATTGGTATTTTGTGAAATTTGGAATTGGCAGGGTCATCCTAAGCATTTGGATTTATATCTATTCTACGAGATTATGGATGACGTAATGTGCATTTGGCCATGACGCTTGTGTATATGTCGGCCTTTGACAAGTTTCCGTGACCCGTGACGATTGTCCGACTTCCAAATCAGATAATGACTTCAGAGAGTATTTGGTTTATCAGAGCTAGCCCAAGAATTTCTACTAGGTCATCGTACATCGCCACCCCAATATGTTCGCCATCATAGATCGACCTTGACAGCAACTATATGCTGTGAATAGAACCCAGTGACAAACAACCAACCCTTCTTCTTACCCCCCTCAAGCTTTGGATCAATTCCAATCAACACAGCCGTAGCTGCAGATCTCACTCTCTTTCCATCATCTTCAAACAGGAGCTTGTTCTCCCACTTTCCACTCTTTCGCTGAGCGAGCCATACCACTACTGGCTCAGTGGCAGTCTCAATACCAATGGTGTGTGCTAGCTCGCAGGCTTTTGAGAGGCCAGCCGAGACATAACCGCTGCTGTCGTTGTCTCCACTTGCATATGGATCGCTGTAGTAGAAGGGGTTGTCCACGGCTGTGTCGAAGGGGATTGTCTCGAGGACTTGAATGGTATGGTCGGGCTTGACGGTGGTTATGTGGATGTCTCCGCTGGCTGCACTGCCGATGGCGATTTCGTTGGGAGTTCTTCCGTGGCCGAGACCGTTATTGTTATGCAGGCCGGTCAGAGCGACGGAAGCACTGAATCCAGCTGTTGAGTCCTTGGTGTCGGTATCGGTGATTTCAATATAAATTGTGTTTGACCATTTCGCGCCATAGTACATATCCTCAACCTGTCGCATGAGACCCTCGCGATAATGATGATCGTTGGTGACATAAAAGCTTGTCGGCGACAGACCAACAATGTCGTTTGGAGTCTGGATCAAAGAATGGCTGATCGAACGGACATACTTGACTGTCGAATATCCAATGCGATGATGAAAGATCTCAATCTGGGAAGCAGCTTTGTTTCCGCCAAACTCATCCTTCTTCCCATCGACAACATGCTGAAGGTACTCAGGGTTCGGAACATGATTCACAGCAAAAATATAAACACTATCCTTATCCTTAGGATCAGCAATAACATCAATACCATGCGTAATAAACGGTCCCTCAAAGCCCTCAAACTCCAATCTTTTCGACTTGAACGTCTTGGGGTCTATGATGTGGATAGACCCACGCGACTTGCTAGCCGTGAGGGGATCATGCAGAACGCCCAGACCAGGAAACCACGAGAACCGCGGTGCGTACGAGTCTTCACAAGCTGTGTACAACAACCCAGAGTGAAGATGCACGTCCTCACAGACAATTGTATCGTCAATGGTTATAAAATCTGCATCGGAGACGATAGTAGACGACGGAGTGCGGAAGAAGCCGAGAACGGTTGTGACGCGATTAACAGGGCGCGCGAGAAAAACACCAAGGCCTATGGTGATGGCCGATAGAACCAAGGCTTTTGGACCGACTGTAGAAGACTTTGAAGCCATTTTGAAATTGTTTGATGGAAAGAAGAGTAATTAGTCTTCCCCGGTTTCATGAGGGCGATCTTCATGATAAATGAGGGGGACGTGGAAACAGCTAGACTTTTTGCCGAGGTCCGAATTTGAGGTTAGATCGTCAACTGAAAACCAAGACTTGACTCGTTTAGGTTGAGAAAAAGTATCGTGATTGGTATTGGGCATGCGATATACGAAGGATTGGAGTTAGCGATGCATATAAGCTGCCCATAGGTGGAGTTGCAGATTTAGGTAAGCTGACGTTTTAATAATGGACAGGGATTTTGCGAGACCTGTTGTCGTAAACACTGGGGAATCATTGGTTATGGATAGTAGGAGATTGTAAAATCCTGACTTTGGGGGACATATAGAGCGGAAAAGCTGTTCCGTCGTGACGTGCGCTGGTGATGAATGGAACTCGACCCCGCGAATCCTTTGCGGCACGGCGATCGATTATAGTGGCTTAGGATAGTTGATTGGGCCGACCGGAATTATCAGATGTCCATAAATATCGTTCGGGATTTGGGAGATTGTCCGAAGCTGAGCAATGGAGCTGACTTGAAAATGCTTTCGCAGAGGCTAGACTGATCCGATTTTTGATACTGGGGAGATACAATCTGACCAAGATAACAAAGAGCCAAGGCTTGCTCTTCCTAGTCAGCTGTGTCATCCTGCACCATGCAGAGGGAGTCGATCGAAAGATACCGCAGGCCCAGATCTCTAGTGACAAGGATAGCTTCTTGGAATTTGGTGGACAACTCTGACAATTCGATGCCATGAATTTTGGACGCTAGGGTAGCTGTGGTGGTTTTGAGTAGGTAAGCCTTCCCACAGCAACGGCTTAATGCGGCGTACGGCTCGATTTCGCCTGGGCTCATGTAAAGAGTTGGTGCTCCGGAGCCAACTCCTCGCCATCAGAATGGGACAATGAATGGCTCTCTATGCATTCTCTCATCCAATTCACTACTGTAGCCATGCAGCCCACAGACAGGAAGTTCTCGCGGACGTGAAGAGAAGTGCCTATCGCGGGAAGGTCTTTGTCTGGTTTGTCTATAAGGCGCATCTTCTTTAGTCATATGTGGTCTCAAATGTGACTGTTTCGCTACATGCGTACCCTGAAGTGTGTAAAGCTCTAATCCAAAGTCCGGAAGACCTAACTTCATCCCTCTATCGCGGGTATTCGGCATCTGCTACCAGAAAGCTCCAGTGTCCAGCTTGTCATAAACGAACAGCAGACGGAGCGACATGGAGCCATCTATGGAGCCATCAATATAGACCAGTGCACCGGCATAATTAAACAATTCCTCATTATAGTGGAGGTGATAGAGTGCGCTGATCACTAGGCGACAAGCCAGACACTCATCCTGCGCTTCCGCTGCTCCGGGGTAGTTGAAACAGACGTGCTTTCCAAGCTTGAGAACGTCCTTCAAGTGACCCTCTCGCATGGAAAAGTGCCCTGGTTGACGGCCGGGTTTGATGATAGAAGATGCCTGGGGGATATGCTTAGGGTCCAAGTCATAGCAGGTCTGGCAATTTGCAGATGATGACTCGTAGGCTTCCTGTATATAGGGCATGTTGATGCTGGGTTCTCTGCAACATTTTCAGTTGAGACTTGTGGCTAAGAGCTTAAATCAACAGAAAGAACTTGGTCAGATAGGATAGTTAGGTGATGAAGAGAGCAGGAATTAGCCTCGCCGATATAAATATTCAGGACTAGGTAATCAGATGCATGCCATATGTTTTCCAGCATGGAAGAACTGAGCCAAAGATTGCCCTATCTGGCGCTGGGGCTGAGGTGTCGGCCGGTGATACCGTAGTAAATAAGCAACTGAACACACTTCAGCTAGCCATCCGTATGCGCCAATCAGCCCTTCCCCCTTATTTGCCGGCATCATTAGGCCCGAGGCTATTAGACATATCGGAACTGCCGGCACCTCGCGCACTATGGAATCATAATTGCAATGATACCCGATAAGCTGTAAAGAGACTTGAGGCCCGGTGGCTACATGGCTATACTTATAAGGGCTAAAAGATATAGAGCTCTTAGTCTCGACCCTCACGTGGTCAAGAGGTCAATCGAGAATTACTAAGCTATCGATAGTAGACTATTGCACAATAAACTTCGAGATTGACGTCAAACGTTACAGTCCTGGGCTATACCGTTTGTGACATAATTCGTGATATGGCGTGCTCAACGGTTCCATACTGGGGTCTTATCGACCTGTCAACGGCCGGGAAACGCACACAATAGAGCAAGAGTATTAGGTTTACCGTTCAAACGGAGATAAGAAAGTAAAAAACGGACGGGATGTTGCGATAGTGGTAACACTTAATGGATGTCCCGGATGAACCCGTGTGGATGAGGTGGTCTTGAGCGGTTTTATATTCAGCGCTGGAACCCAAACGACTGATTTAAACTGCTCCAAACTACCAAAAATCCAGTTACTATTATTAGCCGACTGCCTTTCTATAGTGGTAGTCTCAGCGATACTGTAACCATGAGTCCTTTCCTCAACGGTGATCGATCACCTTCTCCCGAAGAGTCCACCAAGTTCGGCCCCGACATCAAAGTCGCAGTGATCGGCGCCGGAGTCAGCGGAATCTGCGCAGCAGCATATCTCCTCAAAGAAGGCGCCGATGTCACTGTATTCGAGCGCTCCGGCGTCACATCCGGAGTATGGCACTACGACCCCAGAGCAGCGACTACGGATTACCCTAGCGAGAAGCCATCTGCCGGCGACTATGTGACTTCATTCCCAGGACAATTCTCATTGAGCCGAAACAAGAACGGAAGCACTGCTCATCCCCTCGAGAGTAAAGACAGGAACGATCTCGACGTTGCATTTTCTCCTCCTGGGCCCGCTTATTTCGGTCTGAGGAATAACGTCCCTACAAGTCTGCTCTACAGTAATCTTGGTCCTTGGCCAAAGGGAACAGAAGATATCACTGGTCATGAAAATATCCAGAGTTATCTCCAGGGTCTTAGCAAGAAATTCGGCGTCGACGATGCAACTGTCTTTCATACGCGTGTTGAGGATGTAAAGAAGAGCGACGATGAAACCCACTGGGATGTTCGAACGATAACCCTCCTCAAAGGGAATGGCGAGCCTAGAATCATCGAACGCAATTGGAAATTCGACGCTGTCGTGGTAGCAACAGGTCATTATAACCTACCTCGCATTCCGGATACCCATGGTCTCACTGAATGGAAAGCTCACTTCGGCGATGATGTTATCCACACGAAGCAATATCGTCGTCCGGAGCAGTTTGAAGGAAAGACTGTTTTAGTCATTGGTGGCGGTGCCTCTGCGTATGATGTTTGCCGTGAGACTAGTGAGACGGCGAAGAGGGTTATTCAGAGTACTAGAGGCGGAGACTTTGATCTACCGCCTTCGATGTTTCCTGGGAGCGTTGAGCATGTTGGAGAGATTGAGAAGTTTGTGTTGGAAAAAGATGAAAGTGGAGGAGTGAAGAGTCGAGTTGTTCTGGGTAATGGAGAGATTCTCGACGATGTTGATGCTGTTGTTTTGGCAACGGGCTATCTAACATCTTATCCCTTCCTGGCACAGTATCATCGCGATGATATATCCGCCAACAACGCAACACGAGATATCCTCATAACCTCCGAGGGAAACATGGTGCATAACCTCCACAAAGACATATTCTACACCGAAGATCCAACCCTCTCCTTCATCGGCGTACCATACTATACCGCGACTTTCTCTCTGTTCGACTTCCAAGCACAAGTTCTCGCTCGCGTACTCACTGGAAAAACACCTCTACCTGATATTCAGTCTCTGCGACGGGAATACGACCAGCGCGTTGCTAGCAAGGGACGTGGGAGGAAGTTTCACAGTTTGGCGGGAGATGGTGAAGAGATCGCGTATGTGAGGGATTTACTGGACTGGGCGAATTCTAGTCTTGTAAGTGATGAGATTGAACCACTGGTTGGGCATTCGAAGGAGTGGTTGGATACGTATAATGAGCAGAGGGAGAAGAGGAAGTTGTTGAGGGTCGCGAAGGGTGCTGAGCCAGAGGGGTTATGGGCGCGGCCTAGTGATCTGGAGAAGGCATAGTGCAGTGTAAAGTCGGTATTTCATGCAGTCTCAATCAGTCAGTTTTACATAGAGAAAGAAGATCACTTCAGGATATATAAGAGGTCATCGTGAAATATGTGTAGTGAGTTCGACTTTGTAATAATTTTGTCTGGCCAATGGCTCGATTGATTTCAAGCGATGAGACAGCTAAATGAGCCGTGCACGATTCGATATAAGAAATAGATAGCTAAAATCTTGACTGAAATTTTCGTACAAGAGTTATTGCATGTTTACTTGACTACAAACTGTCATGCGGTTACCGAGATTGAACCCTTGTATTGTCGGCCAAGTATCTTTCATTTGCCCGGAGATGCAATCTTTAAACAAAATAACGCTTGTTTGTCCCAATCCGTCCAGTCTTTCATCTAGTCTTTCGTCTCAACTCCGAACCTAGCCTTGATGAGGACCTCTTTGGAGGTCTGGAAGCCCCTAGGTTTAGCCAATAGTGGGACACCAACCACGATGCCGTCTACCAATTCAGTCCAGCTGGCCGAAACTTGTTAATAAACTAGCAGCAGCGTATAGAATCACAAATAATATCAAGCCGTGCAGGAACTCATCGGGGAACGCGAGCCGGACCTCAGTAAAATGCCTCACCATGCATGCAAACGATCTCACCGATCACGCGCCATTAGGTCAAGTATCGAATAATCCGTGGGGGACAAGAGCGCAGAGATTTAAGCATAGCTGACCAACAAGGTTGCAGCGGCGGGTTAAGCATATTATTTACCTTAATCGAGAATAAGCGTTGGGTCCTGTTAGTGCCAAGATACCTTGATAGTTACCGCGCAGTGGGAACAAGAACCCTGATAGACATGTCATCACAGAAAACACCGAGACTAGCACTAAGTCTAACAGATTCTGATTTGCTGGTTGTTTACATATGACGCCACTGCAGAATCTCTTGATGGACTCTGTTTGCTAATGCATCGACCGGTTCAACCGTCAAACCTTGTATGAGCCCCCACGATAGACACCGAGACAAGGGTCTGAAGGATTTTCAGCAGTTAGTGGCTGGTTCTACCCAGAACCTGGGAACCAGGATGCTACGATGGACGGCAAAAGAGCTGTATAAATACCATCCAATACCTCCTGCATAACACTTGTCTCCTCAGCCTCTCAGCCTCATCTCAACCGCCAATCCCAGAGCTACTCCTCTCCATCCACACTCAACCGTCAAGATGATGTTCAAGACCACCGCCGTAGCCCTCCTCCTCGGAGCCGCCACCGCCACTCCCATCTTCGGCCGCGCAGAGACCAGCACCACAAAGTCTGCTGCTCAGACCACCGCTACCAACAGCGTGTACGACTGGTCTGAGGGCTGGGCCAAGGACTATCCCATCCACCAGTCCTGCAACGCGACACTGCGTCGCCAGCTGGTCAATGCTCTGGATGAGACTGTTCAGCTAGCTCAGCACGCAAAGGATCATCTCCTCCGATGGGGAAATGAGTCTGAGTTTAAGCAGAAGTACTTTGGTAATGGATCTACTGCTACGCCTATTGGTTGGTACGATCGTGTTATCAACGCCAACAAGGCGGGTATGCTGTTCCGTTGCGATGACCCTGACAAGAACTGCGCTACCCAGGATAGTAAGTTTAAATCATAGCCCGAGCATGAGTATGCGACTAACAATTATAGAATGGGCTGGCCACTGGCGAGGTAGCAACGCCACCACCGAGACCGTCATCTGCCCCCTCTCCTTCGAGATCCGCCGCAGTCTCGACTCCGTCTGCGGTCTCGGATACACCGTCGCCCAATCCAAGCTCAACACCTTCTGGGCCACTGATCTCCTCCACCGCGTCCTCCACGTCCCCACCATCAGCGAGGGTATCGTCGACCACTTCGCCGAGGACTACGCTGAAGCCGTGGAACTGGCCAAGACCGACCCTTCCAAGAGCGTCATTGACAGTGATGCCCTTCAGTACTTCGCCATTGACGTTTACGCCTACGACATTGCTGCTCCTGGTGTGGGATGCACTGGTGAGGCTGAGGAGAAGGAGACTCCTACTAAGGCGGAGTCTGCTAAGCCTAGTGCTACTAAGGAGGCCCCTAAGGAGTGCCACACTCACAGTGACGGTGTCGTCCACTGCTCTTAAGGGAGTGTGAACTGGTTTTCGATTCTCAAGACCCTTTTCCGTTGATTGTCGATTGAGTTGAGACCTTAATTGGTATCGCTTTGACGACAAGCCGCTATGGATATCAGAACTTTCTGCTTGTGGCATCTGGCAACTAATATCGACCGCTGGACTCAAAGGGTTCAATGGGTACAAGTAGATACTGGAATATTAGAAATGTTTCACATAGATCGCACAACAGGTAACAAAACATAATGATAATTAGTACAACACATGATCGCTTCGGACATTGACCTTAAGTGCATGCTTTCTATTTCGCTTCTGAAGAAACGATAAGTTTCAACACTTTCTGTCACTTGGAACTGAAACCCATTTGTTCTACTTATATTTCCTAGTCTGTCTCATGCTGGCTCATAGACTTTATCCCACTTGTACGAGTACACGAGGTTAGTTAGCTTTTACTCTTTCTATAAAAAGAGGGGTTGTTTGTAGGTTTTAAATTTTCCGTACTAACTCACTTTATATGAGAAAAAAAAGTTAGTCTCAACACAATTACGATACCTAGTAGGGTTTTATGAGGCGTCAAAGTTGAGATACGTAGTCTATGGTCTCCTTGTACTGAATCAATATACGAATAAAACATATCCCATGAACCAAAGTTTTTCATCGAGCCTTGTTTCCTGATCTGACTAAACACCACTTGCAAAAGGGCAGTTCGAAGGGCTCATCGCCCAACTCTACCTTGTTATCGTCAGATGTTTCGCCGACTGGCGTCAGCTCTGGCTTCAGATCTTGCTGTTTAATCAGTTTGAAGCCCTTACGAAGCAAAGGTCTAACCCTGTCCGGCAGCACATCTTTCTAGGAAGTTAGCAACTGTTGATATTGGAATTAGAATCCTTGAACAGCTGCACTTACAGGTCTTGGTGTCGATCAAGCAATTCATTATGTCTCTGATCTCGTCGGAGTCAACAGAGTAGACCTCCGACATGCGCTGCCGCCAATAACTATTGACGAATATCTCCAGAGACCTTGGAGATGATTGCATGCCGACCATGTATGCTATGAACTCTTCCATTAAAGCTTCTAAGAGCACGGCGTTTTCTTGTTCTCGCTTGTCACTTCTGATTTTCTGCCACCTTTCTGGGTCGCATTTCATCAGCACATTAAAGTTGTTTGATGATATATCTGGCCTATAGACGACAGCGAACTATACTCGGGATCAGTAAATAGCATCATACAACCACTATCTCTGCTCTGAAACTTACATCACAACAAGTATGTGTCATTTCTAAAGCCTCGAAAGTCAAAAATCGGATAACTTCGATGCACCAGTCTGATATGCGTGAATCACTTGATTCGGTATCTTGAATCGCGATGTGGAAGAAATCGCATAGGGCCGCTGGTACTGGTTTATTGTATTCCTTGACGTATGATTCCAACGCTGTTGTCAGTGGTGTGCACCCCCTGCCCGAGGGCATACACCAGCAACAGCACTTATCAAGTACCGGAGCCCCAAGGGTGTCCTTTGTTTTTCCAGGGTAAAATCCTCTAACTCCGGAAGGAGAACGGGAGAAATATCCCGCCAGATAATGCCAACCAGTAGCCTGAACATTAAGCCCGAGATTAAAGAGATCTGTTGGCGTCTGATCCATTATTCTTTGGCTTTCTAGCCAATCTATACCATCTATGCGTATCCTATATTTGCCTCTAAGCCAAGTGGGCTCATGGGAACGATACTTTGTCATAGCCGGTAAGAGTCCAAATTTATTGGGCGTTGACAAATTCGTAAACCCATTTTTGAAAAGAATAGGATAGTGATAAATTGTTGTACCGTAGAAGTGATAGATTGTTGAATAGTCGGATGGAACTCTGAGTGCGGGCGGAATGATGATGCCAGAATTATTAAGGCATGAACAAAGGTAGCTTGCTTGGTCGTCTGGGATATCAGAGGTAAGTACCAGATCTTGGCCAACAACCTGCTGTTGTTGCGCCAGAGAAAGCAAATCTGATCTTCTTCTAGCCAGGTTCGAAGCAATGACATCCATACATCGTTCAGAAGCGTCGCGGAAGATGAGTTTTGTTGTAAATCCGTAGTTCACGGGACATCCAGCTTTCAATAGCAGATCCACAGATTCTATAAAATCCGCATCGACACCTGCTTGAAGATCATATTCATCCACAACGTCAACAGCCTTGGTCTGCAGAAGTCTGCTTAGGCCCTCGGGCCAACACAAACAGAGTCGAACAGTCGTAGCTCCGTATAAACTCTCTGTTACCGCCTCAGGAGACTTAGCAATGGCTACTTCAAGCATGCTAATAGATTCTTGAAATATTGCCTGGAAAACAGGGTGAAATTCGGAAGCTATAAAGCCTATAATATATTTATTGACTGGAGAAGGGACCTAGGTTCTTCGAGTAGGACTTACCATACTCGCTTCCATTCAGTAAAAGCCAAAGGTTTCTAAGTCGATACCCTTTGAGGCACATGAAAAATATAATGCTCGTTAAATCTATTGTTTGAAAAAACCGAGCCCAATATCTCTTCTGTAATAAAAATAATGGGACCCACACATCTCCTCTATCGTATAATAAAGAAATTAGCTTTTTGTTTATTCACAAGCCTGAGGACTCTTGGCTTACGTTGTTCCATTTTCATCGCCAGCAGTACTAGCAAGTGTTTCTATCAGTCTCCTCGCCGATAAAATAAGTGATTCAACAGTAAATTGAGCGAGTTTTTTGCGCATAAATCCGTCAAGTAGGGAAAGTGTTTTCTCATATACTAGCTGTGAATTGGTCAGACTAGGCGGATGATTAGGAATCTTCCATACGACTGACCAGAGCGTGAGTCCTTCCATCTTCATCTTGGTCGTATGGAGAGGTCTGCCTGTCTCTATAGAGAGAGAGAATCGTACGCTCAGCTTCTGTAAATCTCAATGAGATCTCGTTTGCTGTGACCCCTTTCGATCGTCCTACTATCTGTTTGTAGAGCTCCTGCGTCACATCATAGACTGGACTGCGAGATCTTGGAACAATGCTTCTATATCGGATAGATATCCCAGGAGTTGCTGTCCCGAGAGAATACTCGATGCATGCGAGAAAGAGTCTCGAAGAAATAGCCCCGAGCTTGAATGGAAACTGTGCCCTGGCGATTCTTTTCGTCGGCTGGTCGATTCTGAAAAATCTGCAGCTACGTGCATGTTGACCAGGACTATGTTGTTCATACTCAAACGTAGCATGCCAGAAGCGATAGGACAATGTTGAATATTCTTGCTGCCGCTCGCAGGTACAGCCAAGGGGGTTGGCAGTGAGCTGCTTTGGATCCCTTTTTCTTGCAAGAGGGGTAGCTTGCCTCGATCCCGTGTTCTGAATATACATGTTATCCACACCCTGTGATGATTCTGTTAGCGTTGCCATAAGACCCCGTGTGATATGACTAACCAGAGTTGATTGCATCAATTCGTTCTGAAAGTTGTTCTGTCTTTTGAGTTCATCGAAAGCTTCCATAAGACGTTGGTTCATATATTCTTGGTGGCGTCGATCGATGGACATAAGAGAGCCAATGTCAGTGCTGATCAGCCTCAGCTGTCCGCCAATCTCTTGTCGGAATCCTTCCGCAAATAGATGAGCCTGAGATATCTCACTCTTCAAATCCTTGTAGTAAGCTGACATGCTGTTGTCTAGGCGTTGAAGTTGGTCATAGAGCTTGGCCACGTTTGCGTCTTGGTCTTTGAAGGCATTCCCAAGGACATCAACATTAGCGTGGATTCCGACTGCGACGTCCCTAAGCGTTTGTTTAGCATCATACTTAAGTAGGAGAAGGGATAGGTAAATACAGTGACGTGATATCCAAGCAGAGAGTCAGATTTTGCAGCAATCCCTTCAATGACTGGCAAAGTGACTTCAGTTTCCCTTCACGAAAGGGATATAGCAGCGCGAGTCTGGCATTATCCATCCTTCTCAGCACATTGTGCTCTGGGCTGTGTGTACCACGGAGCTTGAGTGAGAATTGTTGGAATTCACGAAGCTTTTCTTCACTCTCGGCCAAGCATCGACGGATAGCTGGTGTTCCAGAAGATCTTTCTTCAACCTTTGGTAAGATATCCTTCAGGGAATACAGGATTGATATGACGCTTTGAACGTCGCTGAGACTTTCCTGTATGTCTTGATCTTGACTTTTGAAAGATTGAAGGTAAGAAATGAGGCCTTGGCAGACCTGTATACCCAACGAAATGATGCCGACCGCGCTCCCCGCGACGGAAAGCGGATCGGACATGCCGCAAGGTGGATGTGTGCAGAACAGTCCTGCAACAAGAGACAAGTTATATGATGTAGCAAAGAGGCAAAAGACGTGTTAAACTTCGAAAGAATCGGGCTGCCTGCACAGATGTGAGATTGGTAAAGGAACAAGAATTCTCAACCCCGCTTCCGGTGCTTGCGAATTTCAGCCGTGAGGCAGAATGAGGCAACCGCATAAGTTCAATTCTTATCCAACCATTTCCTGTGACACAGACTCAGCCTTTGTAATTTCATGCATGATTGCGTAGCGAGGCAGAACCAACTGCGCCGAATTACACCGCCTTTCTTTCGGGTGTTCCGGTGTCTAATCCCGAGGGTTTCCAAGAGCAACAGACGAATTGATGATACACAAACGTGATTGCTTGTCTCGCGCGATGGGTTGATAAACATGACCTAGCTTCTTCAAGGCTAAACCCCAATTGCGTATGGTGTAAGCTGACCAGTAATCTCATTGGCTGAGTGATCAATCTTCAAATCGGCCATGATAGAAAGAGTAGAGTCATTGAAGCAAAGGTAAAAGATTTGATCCGCAATGTCCTTGATTTAAGTATTATCCACTATGAAGTAAAGTATATAAGGAGTGTAAAGAAAATGTCCATCGAAGTAAACGTGCTATGTCCAAGCCAAAGCCAAAGCCAAAGGCAATCTCATAAGATCATCAGAGCCTCTTCCAGCCTGTCCTCCACCAAGCAAACTATCCCCCTCAATCTCTCCCCCGATTCAACACCTTTTAGTAGCCGCCCTTCTTGCAGACGCCCTTGTGCTGGTCCCAGTACCAGCCCTGCTTGCAGCTGCAAGTCTTGGACTTCTTGTCAAAGACCTGGTCGTGCTTCTTGCAGACGCAGCCGCCGTACTTGTACTCGGCGTCCTTGCCGCAGTCGTAGGCGCACTTGTGTCCGTCCCAGCTCAGGTCCTTGGGGCACTTGCAGGACTTGCTCCAGCGGTCGTAGTACTGGCCCTTGGGGCACGAGCACTTGCCGTACTGCTCGATCTGTCCCTTGGGGCAGACGCACTTGCCGTAGGCCTCGACCTTGCCCTCGGGGCACTCACACTTCTTGTGCCACTTGTTATAGACCTTGCCGGCGGGGCAGACACACTTTCCGTGCTCGTATGTCTGGCCTTGAGGGCACTGGGGGATACACTTGCCGTACTCGAACTTGAAGCCGTCCTTGCAGACACACTTGCCGTACTTCTCAACCTGATTGTCGGGGCAGACACACTTTCCGTACTTCAGAACCTTGCCGGAGGGACACTCGCACTTCTTGGTGTGCTTGTTGTAGGTCTGGCCCTTGGGACACTCGGGAACACACTTGCCGTACTCAAACTTGAAGCCATCCTTGCAAACACACTTGCCGTACTTCTCGACCTGGTTCTCGGGGCAGACACACTTGCCGTACTCAAAGATCTTTCCCTTGGGGCAGACGCACTTCCACTGGTCCTTGTCGAAGTACTGACCGTTGGAGCACTTGGGAATACACTTGCCGTACTTCCACTCAGTTCCCTTGGGGCACTCACACTGGTTGGAGTGAGGGTTGTAGCTCTGGCCCTTGGGGCAGTCCTTGATGCACTTTCCGTACTTCCAAGAGGTTCCCTTGGGGCATTCGCACTTGTGAGACCACTTGTTGTACTCCTGTCCCTTGGGGCAGACGGGCACGCACTGGCCATACTTCCACTCAGTGCCCTTGTTGCATTCGCACTTGTCCTTGTGCTGGTTATAATACTGTCCCTTGGGGCAGTCCTTGATGCACTTTCCGTACTTCCAGGATGTTCCCTCGGGGCACTCGCACTGCTTGGTCTTCCAGTTGTAGGATTGTCCTGCGGGGCAGTCCTTCACGCATTTGCCGTACTTCCAAGATGTGCCAGCGGGACATTCGCATTTGCCGGAGTGCTGGTTGTAGGACTGTCCCTCAGGGCACTTAGGAATGCATTTGCCGTACTTCCACTCAGTTCCCTTGGGGCAAACACACTTGCCTTGGTCCTTGTCGTAAGACTGACCCTCGGGACACTTGGGGATACATTTGCCATACTTCCACTCGGTGCCCTTGGGGCAGACGCACTTGTCTTGGTCCTTATCATAGGACTGACCATAGGGGCACTTGGGGATGCACTTTCCGTACTTCCACTCAGTGCCATAGGGACACTCGCACTTCTTGGAGTGAGGGTTGTAGACCTGAGGCTTGGGGCAAGTAGGCTTGTTAGGCACACACTTGCCATACTGCCAGGTGGTGTCCTTGGGGCAGACACACTTCTTGCCGTCCCAGGTGAGCTGCTTGTCGTTGCAGACACACTTGCCGTAGACTTCCTTGGCGTCATGGCCACAGTCCCAGCGCTGGACGAGAGCGTCAGAGTCATCCCGAGCCTCAAGACCGAAGTCGTTGTCGGCATCGGGGAGAGCCTTGACCGAGACGGCCAGGGCGAAAAGATTGATGAGGAGGTACTTGATATGCATGATAGGCAACTGCAGGCCTTTCAGCAACGAAAGTGGTTGGGGTGAAAAACGAAAGAAGAGGAGCGAGTGAAGGAGGAGGTCAGTCGAGTTGAGAAACTGGTGCCTTTCTGACTTGAGAGTGAAGAGACAGAAACAGATTTGGTGAGGATATCTTGAGGTTTAAGTAGGAGATGTCTGGCTGCAGATGCAATACGAGATCCTGATGCTCAGGTGCCCATCCTTGGTCAAGATGATCCCAGCATCCAGATAGGAAGTCAGCTCATGCTACTTTGGGAAGCATGATGCTCCAAGGCAATAGTTCCAAAGCTAAATTCTCTCTTAGACCGGAATCCTCCTCTCGCAGTGTGACATACATGCCAATTCCAGCCTCAACTGTGGATGCCAGCTGTCGGTCGGGTCCAGGGGGGTTGCATATACCACGCCCGAGGAACAGGGAAGACGGACACAGCAGGACAGGGGCATGAAAAGGTTGGGCTGGAGACAAACCATGACAGCACGGGACATAGAATAGGCCCAACATTATGCTTACTTTTTGCAACGTGAAGGCAGAGCCGGCTCTAAGCCGGACAAGATTTGATAGCGATAGCTCAGTCGAGGCTAGTGTTCTGTGCCGTGATTGATCCAGATTTAGTGACTTGTGCCGCGATTTCTAATTCTGTCCCGTCTGCGCGTCTTCGAACGGTAGACCAGGCTCCAGTGACATGCTAGATAATCTCCGTGATTCGACGGTCAGCTGAATCCATCACATAACGGAGAGCGACGAGCCGAAATGGGCCACCAAGGTCTGGTCTGGTGTTCCCATAGATAGTAGCACAGCATATACAAGTGAGTGTAACGATTTAGTAATGACAGCTGTGACGCACACAAGGCGTTTTCCTTTTTCTTTTGCACGCCCGGGGCGGATGCGCTGGCTGCATCACACACCGATTTGAGGAATACGAGGTCTTGCAGGTTGCAGATGGTGTTGAAGCTGCACCATCTCGTTGGATGAGAGGCTCAAGTTGGGGCCATTTTCCCCCGCGCAAAACAACCAAGGCTAAAAGAGGTTGACCGTAAGGCTGGCTAATGCAGGTTGAGGGGCATTATTTGGTCTCACATACGGACAACTCACCAGGGGAAGGGGAAATAAACACGATCAAGAGGTGAGGTTGGGTGAGACAAGCATGGATCCCTGTCTAGGTCTCGGAGCCGCGATCTAGGACTTATTTTCTTCCCGTGTTTCGTTTGCCAACGGAGCTGAGTCTTGGTATTTTCAGCACAGACAAGCGTATGCGCACGGAGGTACATAGATCCGGGATCTCAATCAATTGGAGCCAAGCCGATCTTGTTGCAATACGAGGCCCCGGAAAAAGGGGGGGACATTTTCAGCATACGAAGAGTGCATTGATTGGTAGACAGAGCAGCCACGCACGGGTGAAACAGAATAGCAGCTGTTGGTAAATATAGCCCCAGCTGCAGCCACAGAGGAAACATGTCATTGCTGCGAGGGGTTGGCACCAGTCAGAGAAAAGCATGCAACCACATTTTTCTTGTTGTTGGTGGTCCACCTAAAGAGGGGGAATATCGACCGACTGTTCCGTCTCCGACAACCGATGGAGGGTGAGGGGGCCTTGGATGTAACTTTTCATTCAAGAAGCATCAGAAGATGGTGGAAATAACGGGGTATCATGATATGCAAGGGATGTTTGCTATGCTCTGTCGATCTTGTTCTTCTTCCTCTCAGGCCTTGATCAGATCACTCGCTTCTTCTCGCTTCATCAACCCCGCCCGAGGTTCCGATGCAAGAACATCGTGTCGCTTCAATAGTGGCCGTGGCCCGCCAACTCACGCGAATTACAGTTCAAGTCCTAAACAGGGGGACCCCTGTTCCCCAAAAGCTTAGGGCCATAAGCTCGATCGCGGGGACAGTCTTGGCCTGATTTTAGCTCGCTCTTGATCATGATTTCCAGACCGCGAAACGCGCATCTCATTGGCACACGGGAGATTCTATTCTTGCCAACGTGCATAACTCCTTGACTAATACTCTCTCGGTTAGAACCGTTGAGATCGTTTTTCTCTCTCGGGTATTTTTAACTTCAGTAGTCTGTGTTTATGACGGCGATGGTTTAACTCGATTACACTCATGATAAGATATGCCAAGGTTGGGTGAGCAGATTTCTATTGAATAATCGTGACGTTTCAGGTCGGTCCAGCTGCGGGGCAGAAACGAAATCCTGGTTCACGTTGCATGTTCAATCGTCTTGGCTGGCCCAAATCTCACCTGCAGCTCTAGCATCAGGAGAGAAGAAAAAACGCCCATCAATAAATTTATCACGGCACGAGGAATAGAGTTTTCCGCCGCTTATTTGCGGGGAATGGCTGATCGAACCTGGGAAAAACTATCCGCCCGTTGTGACGATCCAGGGCGCCATCACTTTCAATTGGTCCCCCCAGAACACGAGAGCCTGGCCCCCCGATTACTTGTCTCCTTTTTCCCCTGTAATTATTTGGCGTTAACGAGGTTTTGTTAATGTTTGGTAACTTTATTTAACGCCTGCAGACAATAGTTGTTCTGCCACAACTGGAGAATCCTTGGCTATACAGGTCAGCTGATGACGGCCACTGTGAGTTGTTTTTTTAACGGCTGATTTCTGGCTGAACTTCTAATCCATGTAGAGCTCAAAGGATGATGCATGTTTATTTGGGTCCGAGCGAGCCTTGTTTGCTGCAATGTCATGTTTATCACTGTCAGGAATGGTAATCGACTTTTTCAGCTCAGCGTTGCTTTTTTCACATGATGTTCTGTTTTTATCACGGCACTATCAGATCATTAACTGGCATCTACTGTTTACCCGCCGCCATCCATAATACCTCCCAGAGTAATCACACACAAATCCATACTCGCAAAAAACGCCTGATCTGCAGTCAGACTCTCTCAACGTATTGCCTGAAATCGACACGACCCACGTGCAGTAAGCATCTCACGGCATTGTCCAATGACTGCGTTGCCCTAACGTAAGCCCATCCGAGCTACTCCTCCAGCAGAATTATATCCATGCCGTCATTATACCCCCCGACATCCGATGCATTACAGCACTGCATACCCTTAGTAGATGTATTTTTCACCGTCCTTTCTGCATGCTGACCCAAGTCTTACAACATTGGGTAGCTGAGAAAGCCACCAGAAGTGCAGATTCACCGGATGGGATGGGAGAAAAAGTGTTGTGTCACATCGGGTAAGCAAGCCTCCAATACTCTATCCTGTCGGGCCTCAAGTGTCATTGACTTGAGGCTGGCGATTTAGGGTATTGAGCGATGCCCCGAGATTTTGTCTGGTAGGTTTGCTTGAGAGCCTTGCGGCTTGGAGTCTGGCGATACGAGGCTCGGGAGTTTCCCCTACGTGTTCTGTCTAATGGGATTTTCCTTGAACGATAACTCTTTGCCAAGTTGCATCTCGTATAATCTTCGTGATCGTGACGCCCAGGTTACACCGAACTGACACGGTAGATGGCACAAAGTCCATCTTCGTCTGTACCATTTTTCTACGGTGAAAAACGTGGACGATTAATTGAAATTCGTGCCTTGCATGCTGGTCGCAACATGCCCAAAGGAAGTCCGCCACCAATCCAGTCCCTCACCAGTCGTAACCAATGCACTTCATCCCAAGCTGCTCCTCAAAAGTCCATTTTGTAACTCGATCAAGACGTCGTCACTTTACGCACTGATCAGCATTCCAGTAGAAGCGCGTTCCTGATTTCTTGACTAGCGTGCCTGCGCCTCAGACATGACTGGCGACGGCGCCAAACCCTCTAGCCACGTTCTGACTGTCTCTCATCAATGGCGTAGGACTTTCAACGGTTCCCGCATTCCAGTCGTCCCAGGTATCGGGTCAGCGGCGGGGAATACGAGGCCAAATCGAGGAGGTGATTGCCGGATGGAGGGGATTTAAACCTTTGGCTTGGGTAAAATTTCACCTTCTGGGATGTCTTGTGATCATAGTCCTAGAGTTTAATTCTTGAAAGTTTCGGGCAAGGTAACTGCCGTTGGACTGGTTATTATGGAGGTTTGCGGGCGGAGATGGCTTCGCTTGTGATTTCTCCGCTTGCTGACGGGACTTGACCCAATTTCAACAAAAGTCGCTCCTTGGCAGATTTGGAAGTGAAATTTTCTACGGGATATCATTTTCCCAACTTCGGCAGCTTTGAGTTGCCCTCGGCATTACTTGTTGGGTGAAAATTGTCTGAATTCGTGACTGAGGCTGTCTGTGAGCATCTCTAAGTACCCAATGTAGACTTGACCTCGTGGCTGGCTTTTATACCGACATCCCCTTCCGCTAGCTATTGTAAGGCCAGTTTTTGCAATTATATTAAATTCTTGTTCATCAATCTGGGTCGAAGTGGCTTCCCTAAAGCCCAACATCTCTTGCTTATGCCCAAAGCAAACAGGTTGGTCTCCAGCGGCCGTCATCTTACAGACATCTTGAAGGCCACCAATATCTAACAACTTATTTCGCTTCAATCTTTGATCCAGGTCCAGTATTTATTTTTTCCATCCATATCCGTTCTGTTCATACTGCCTCTCATCTTCTTGAGCAGTCCAGAATGCGGCCAAAGTCCATTTCCCCATTAACTTCAATAACATGCACGCCACTCATATCTGCAGAATCTAAGTGGACCGCGTCAGATTCTCCGGATCTGTGCCTCATCTATAGGGTGACAGCTACGTAAGTTGGTGTCGTGTATACATATACCAAGGGCGTAGAGACGGGAGACGGGCTGCCTCCCAATGCACGTATGATTTGCAGCATGTAAAGGCTTCTCTTTGCTTTTTGTACGTTGGAATGGTGTTGAACTGGCAGGCAGCCATCAGGGAATCTTCAATGATTCCCCGATTTGTTATGAGACAGACAAGCTGCATGAGACTATAGACAGTGTGAAGCAACTTCTTATTGACGCCAGAACTCTATATCTCTTGTCAAAGCTTTTTGGCTCTACTCCCAGAACAATAGACATACAGAATACCCTACCGAGAGAAATTCGAGGCTTGCAGTATACTGATAACGGCGTAACATCGAGACCAGTTCTTATCTCTGATATTATGCTGTGACACCCCACGCCATATCCTCGCATATGTACTGATAGTCCTACCCAAAAAGTAAGCTTAATTGAACAATCCCACCTTGCGACATTCATCCATCGATGGCGCCATCTGAAGTACTGTGATAGACACATGGGCCGCGCGTCAAAGATGGAGTGCAAATCGTTTTGACTAGCAGGATCTCGCATATGCAGTAGGCTTCGATCTTTGCGCATGGCACCCTTTTATGGTGTGTTCGAGAAGGCTTCTGTGCTTCAGTAGTTGAAACGGACTTGCATGCATGGATTGTAACCGTACTGCGTTGGAGGATGCAGAGGGCGTTGATGGCGACATTTGAGCTGAGATAACGCCATAGGGGTCCAGAGGTTATTGGAACGTGGTTGATTGACAAGTTAGACCAATCATCTGAGAGAGCGACGATCCGAAACGCCCATTTTTGTCTTTTGATACTCGCTTCGTCGTTTACCAAGTATAAGTATCAGCACCGAAAAAAGCCAAGTCAGCTGAATGGGGTTCAGAGGGAAATCAGGATTGTTCACTGTAACTCTTCCATATCGGGAATGAGGATATATTCAAGATAAGTCATTAAGATCGCTGTAGGAGATATGAAAGTCTTAATTTGCAAGAATTGAAGGACTATGCTTTTGCTGAGCTGACTTGATGATCTCTATGATGGTGTTGCGAGTTGTGAGACTGTGTTGTGGCTGTGTTATCGTGGCGGTGATCGTGTAAGCCACAGGAGAGACAGAACTCCTCGTCTGGTCATCATCAATCAACCTCCAAGACAGTCTCACGTCATGCGGGGTAAAAGCCATCGAAGTCAGATTCATTCACAGCGATGAAGAACATGTCACAGACTCTCTTTTGTTCACACGTCAATTGCTATATGTATACGTGATTCAATCACTATGTACAAAGAATAAGTTTTACGTGGGATCAAGTAATGATCCATCATTCCATCCACGCAAAGATCAGAAACTCAACCATCCATCTCACACAGTCTCAACTTACTTCCTGAGAGCACGCTTGGCCTTAAGAGCTCGCTTGGCAGCACGCTTGGCCTTGCACTTGCCACCAGTAGAAGGAGCCTTGGTAGCAACAGGGGGAGCGGAGGTCTCAGCGGGCTGCTCAACAGGAGCTTCGGTGGGAGTAGCAGCGCTGGCAGCCTCAGTGGTAGCAGGGGCAGAAGCAGCGGGAGCCTCAGTGGCGGGAGCGTCGCTGGCAACGGGGGCAGCGCTCCCGGAGTCGGAACCCTTGTCGTTGGTGCAGTCACCGTCGCTAGCCTGGCCAGCAAAGTTGGGAGTGTGGTCCTCACAGCCGCTGGGCCAGACCTTGGGGCCGGGAGCAGTGTAGTTGGTGACGGGAGGGTAGTAGATGCTGAGGAGCAGACCGGGGTCGGTGGCGGTGTAAGCACCAGGGAGAGAGACAACGGGAGAAGGCTTGCCAGCACCAGTACCATCGACGGTGAGCTGAGCGCATCCAATGTAGAACTGAGCACCGTTCTTCTCACCAGCGCCGTGGAGACCGACGTGCTCGGCGCGCATGAGGTAAGTACCCTTGGGAGTCTCCTTGGGGAGCGTAAAGGTGAAGTTGGTGATACCGTTGGACTGGCCGTTCATGTAGTTGGCCCACTCAATGCCGTTCGCACCAATGGTCTTCCATGTCATCTCGTAGACCTTGAACCAGTCGCCATCACCGAGGTAGTCCGAAGCCTCAGTGCCGTCAGGCGCCTTGCTCAGGTAGACGGCCAGGGGACCGGGGTGGCCCATGTCGTTGGCGACAGTGAAACCAACCTCATCGCCGGGAGAAACAGCGTGAGTCTTGGTAGCAGCGCGGATATCCTTGTCGAGACCGCCAGCGTTGCAGATGATGTCCTTGGAGGTGACGTCGGTGATTGGGCTGTTGTTGTTGGTGGTCTTGCGGACGTACTCATAAGGCTCGGTGACCTTGCCGTTGACGATGAGAGCGTCGAAGTTGTAGTGCGCAAAGGCGGTGGGGAGGGCGGCGACGAGGGCCAGAGCGGTAGAGAAGGATGATCGCATCTTGAATGTTGCTTTTTAAGGATTGGTTGATATAGTGGTAAGAAGTATTTTTCGTAGAGTTGGACACGAAAGGATAGCTAAACCACCAGGGTCTGCAAAGAATGAAATAATCTCGTAGAGAAAAATAAAAAGAAAGGCGCAAGCAACAGCTGCGAAAAAGTGAAGAATCAGATCTTGTGATGGAAAGAATGGGATGGAGAGGAAAGAAAGAAGAGACGGAAGCAAGAGGGAGAGGCCATGGCTTTATCTAAATGGAGGGAGGATCCCTTGTTTCTCGGATGTGCACATCATTGCTGGAATATCGGTGGATAATACGCGCCAACTGAAACTGTTCCTTACATTAGACGCTGAGAGTCGTCTGGTAATGTTTGGAGGAACTGGTTAAGGGGGTTCTGTTTGAGATTTGGTGAGTTTGGTGAGATACCCTGTCTTGTCAGTTACGCGAGACGTCTCATATCTCGGACATCTAAGCGCTTTGGGCGATTGAGCGAGGACATCGTGAAACTGTTTGCAGAAACAACGGCAAACAATTTGGCGTTCCGATATAAGGTTGTTTGTAAGTGTAAGTGATGAATACGAGTTTAATATTGTATATTTCGTATCGTTTTTGACCTTGTAAATTCAATCGTAGATTGTAATTAATTCTGAAAACTCAATTGACGGAGATAATCTCACAGCCTTGGCATGCTCGTCAGCGTCGCGAAATGAAGTGATTGGTGGAAATTGATGAGCACAGGGGTTCAGTGCCGGATGTAACAGGTGAGTGGACACTAACCCAGCGCCAGAAGAAACGGAACAAGTTCAGATGAACGGAAGAATTACGACAGAATAATCGGCGATAAATAAATTGGTCTCCTATTTACAAACTCTTGCCCCTAGACATTGGCCTTATCGAAATTACGGATGAAATCATAGTAAAACTTGGCCATGTTCATCTGCTCGCTCATCAAAAGCCGTTCATTGACGCCGTGGATGTTGGAGAAGGACTTTAGGCTGCCGGGGCTCCACCTGTAGATGTTTTTGGAGAGATCTGATTGGGAGTCAGTGACAAACGAAATACCCTGGACTTGGAAGACTTACTGAGATAATGGCGAGTATCGGTGTTGCCTGTCATGGCTCCTGGTGCTGCGACTACAGTCTTTGCCTCTTGGGCGAATGAGTGACGAACAGTGCCTGCAAAGATATCCCAGACTGGACCGGTTGTTGGCGATTGAGGCGTGATGTAGGACTTTTTCTTCGCTGCGATTGTCAAAGTCCCCTTGTGTTTCTGCTGCCAGAGATCTTCGTCCTTGTTGCATTGGCGAGAGAGGTTATTAGCAGCAAGATACTCATCATAGTCTGCATCATCCTCAAAAGCTTCAACTCGAAGGTTGTGACTCTCGGCAATATCCTTGATCAGACCCACGATTCGATGCTGAATGCTTCCAATACTATCCTGCGGCGCATACCGATGGTTAACACCAAGCGTCACAAACTCGGGCAGCGCATTGATCTTTTGACCGCCAGAAATAACATCAATTGCCTGCGATGTCTGAACCATGTACTGCATATCGCGCGACAGCTTGGTCAAGAACTTCGCAACGCCTGGGAGATCTCCGCCGTTGACGAGCTTAGTGAGATCGGGAAAGACATGGGGCGAATGCTCGGCGAAGCAAGCCAAGCATTGATGAATAGCTCCGTTCTTGGCGATCTCGGGCTTGAAGGGGTTGTGTTCCAGGGTAGTAACGATCTCAGCCATTATGCCAATCGCCGTATGCGGTGTTGGCACTGAACTATGCCCACCGACGACACTGACGTTGAACCAAACATCCAGATAACCCTTTTCGTAAACAGCAGGAAGCGCGTATAAAACATCGCCCATCTTCTGCAGTCCAGCACCGCCTTCGTCAAGAATAGCAGCAATGCCATGCTCTCCATATCTGGCCTCTAAATGTTTCGAGATATGGCCTGCGCCACGATGACCAGAGCATTCTTCATCGAAACCAAAAGCTAGAATGACTGTACGTCGGGGCTTATAAGTCTTTTGGGATAAGAGTGCTTCTAGGGCGGACATTTGAGCTGTGATGGCTGATTTATCGTCTGAGGCGCCGCGGCCCCAGAGATAGCCGTCTGTTTCGTTGTAGAAGGCGTCAAAGGGCGGGTGGACCCATTCGTGGAGTGTTCCGTCGGCTACGGGGACGACGTCTTGATGGCCTGCTAGGAGGATTGGCTGGAGGGATGGGTCGGAGCCTTTGAGGGTGTAGACGAGGCCGAATTTGTTGACTTTTTCTGGGGTGATGTGTTTATGTCTGAATTTTGTTAGGATCATCATTCGGAGTGTAATTGAATTTACTTACACCGTTGGATAGGCCTTCTTGAGCATCTTTGGAATGTCGTTAAAGGGCTTCCATCTATCATCTGTATCCAAATCTCCCATGTCGTCATAGCAGATTGAAGGGATGCGGACGAGCGATTGATGTTTCTTGACCATCACTTGTAGTGCTTTCTTGCTGGAGAATAAATCATGCGAACTCTCAAGCCCATCCTCGGAGGGATTCAACGCAGCAGGAAGATGGCATTTCGGATTCGCGTCTGCGGTGCCAGCAACATTAATCTTCTCACTAAGACGATGCTGCGCATCATGCGAAAACGCAATTGCTGCACCAGCAACGAAAGCTGTTGAGAAAATACTAGTGAATCTCATCTTGATGTCTTGTAATTGAGCTTGACAATCAGATCATTCAACATGGCGTCAGAGCATCCTTATACTTTATCTACACGAAATACTTTCTTGGCACTCTATTCCCAACACAGGCACCAAGAAGCGAGTTTCGTCAGCTCACCTCGACAGCTGAACAGTTTCTTTTCGCATCCGGCACATTAAGGTTCAGACCCCGCAAGCAGCCTGCAACAATCGCGTGATGTTGAGTCTGGAATGATGACGAGAGTTAAAAATTCTCTTTCGGATTAGACGGCCGAATGTCTCGGCCGTGTCTTGGCGATGGAATATACCGTTAGACCGAGGCAATGAAAAGAATGATTAATAAAAATAATATTACATATGAAAACAATTTGGTCTGTAATCTATACACTGATTTTGTTACGCGTTGCGCTTAATCTTTCTTCTCCTGATCTCCTGGCTCTTCATTCTTCTTCACCTGTTGAATGAGTGTGACACCTGCTAGCTCACTAGCACCGTCGTGGACCTGCTTCGTCCAGAATGGATCTCTCTCCATCACCAAAACCGACTTGCGTCGCTCGCGGTGTGCTTCACGTACAGCTAGTCCAGACTGCTGTTTCTTCGTCTCCAACTCCTCAAGATATTTGACGCGGTTTGCATATCGCTGATTATAGTCTTCTCGAATCCGCTCAGAGCCGATTTGCTGAAGAACGAAGCGGACAAGAGATCGAAGGAGAAGAAGAACGTGTTCGCTTATAAAGACAGTAACGGGAAGAGTAGCCCAGCTTCCCATTGTATTGCCGACTTTGTCGACACTAAAGAGATGCACAATCGCTGCGGTGCAGATGCTTCCGAGCCAGGTCAACGCTTCGAGGGAGTAGATCCAAGGCCCGATTCCGTCTGAGCGAACTGGTGCGGGGCGCTGATGCTCCAGTGAGATCTTTGCGAAATCAGATCGTAGCTCAATCCAGTTGTTGATGAGAAAGCCCATTGGGATAATTGGCCAGACTGGTGAGAATAAAGCGAGATATCCGAATTGAAGAACTATTTCTGCAATGTCATCCTGGACGTTGTACTTTGGAAGAATCGCCTCGTTTCGAACCCGTGATAAGAAAGCTTTTTCTTCAGGATCATCCTTCACCACCGCAAGAAGCATATCGCCTTTTGATCGTGCCCTGCGATAATCTCGATACCAATCCGAGAATTTATGCTTTAGCATTGGGACGATGTTCTCTTCGAAGAAACCTGAGAGTTGGCCTGTGACTGTTAAGGCGATGACTTCGTTTCTCAACCTATCGGCATCGAGATGGAACGGCTGATGAACGAATTTCTTGCCGACGCTGGCGAACGCAGCTGATAGGAAATTTTCAAGTTTGGGTACGACGGTCCCGCCGAAGGGGATGTAGATAAATGCTGTGAGGAAGATGGGAAGATAGTTGGTGAACATGTTGAGGACAAAGACTTTTTGGGTGAGTGACATTTCGTGCAGATCGGCGGTGCGATGATTTTCGAATTCGGTCATCCATTCTGCTGCGTCTTCGAGGGCGGAGGTGATATAAGGGAGAGATACAGCCAGGAGAATAGTTGGAAGATATTCCTGCTCATGTCAGACAACTCACAAGTTGTTAGTGAAAATGAGTGACCTACCAAGTAATCCTTATACGGCCCAGCATACGTCTCCGAGATCAAAATCTCAATAGTAAACACCGCAATGATCGTAATCCCCAGCGCCAAAAACGCGACGATCAAGAACGGAATCTGCAATAACTGTCTCACGACCTTCTTCCATCGAGGAAAGTAGTAGTGTTTCCGCCCGCCCTCGTCAACATACTCATAGTCATACTTGAACTGCGGTCTGTTGACCTTGACATGTTGAATACCCTTGACGTTCCAGCGCAGACTAAGATCGAGTTCTTGAATCTTCCAGTACTCGAGGAAAACGGTGCACCACACGCTGGTGAGGATGCCGTAGGCGAGGGAGTATCGTGGAAGCCAGAGCCATGCGATGACGCCTGTTATGGCGGGGAAGGTGAGGAAGAGAAGATAAGCTTGGATGAAGGCAAAGTAAAAAGCGACCTAGCATTGTAAGCACATGTCCATATAGGTGAGAAGGGGGCGTACCTTTGAGCCGTGAAGGTTGCGAATCTGATCGATATCCTCGTTGGATAAGAAAAACTTTCTGCTTAGATACTTGAGCAACGACTGATTGACCTTTGAATTATGAATAGGAAATATCGCCTTGACGTTCTCCCACTTCCCTGTCCCGGGGGTGATGCCCGCACCACCAAGATCCTTGGACCAATGGACGATATGATACACCGAAAGAATATCCTCTGCCTCATACGCCCCATCAACGACTGTGTTTTTATCACCGCCAGGGTGATTCGGCGTGATGCCGTATAGCCAGTCCTTAACCCTGCTGTCTCTGTTAATAAAATCCTGTTCTGATTTTGAAAAAGTAACTTGCCTGGACTTGTAGACGGCGTTGCCGAGGAGTTCGCGGGGTGCTTTTGCGAATACAAGGAGGGATTGTTCATAGCCCGCTCTGACTTCAACGTCGAAACCAGTTTCTTCCAGGTCTGCCACTAGGGTCTTGAACTCTTTGATAGCCGTATCATGATCTACCCCAATCAGCACCTCATCTCTTTACTCTCTTCTCACAAACTCACCCGTCTCGCCGAAATCATACAGAACGACATACTTGTCGTTGTACGTCGTCTTATCCTCAAAACCCATACTCGGCATCTTCCAGCCTATAAGATCCCTGTGCTTTCCCCGTCTGGTGTCGCGGTCTAGTCAAGCAATACCCCTTGCGCGACGGAGCATACCAAGAAACGAACAAATAGAGAATACGGACCACAACAGCGGCTGTGTAAAGAAGTGAATGGATATGTTTGATGCAAAGAAAAAGGTGAAAAAGACACGTTTGGGGGGTTCAATACACGTCAGCTGGGTCCACTTGGCCAAGAGTGTTGAGCCGGATTGGGCGGATAAGTCGGCACGAGGGTTCTTGGTGTTTTGGCCGCTTGGCGATAGTGAATTTGCACTGCCTCGCTGGTGATGGAGTGTGTAATTTTAGGGGTCTGAGATTCAATTGGTTCTTGCGTATTGAGATCGGATCGCCAGGAGCCGAGAGGTTTGATGGAAACAATGAAACAATTACTGTGATTTTCGTATTGATAATTTCGGGTTTTGTGCATCTTAATTATCATCGTCATCTTACAACTTGGCGGTCATCTGCCAAGAAGGTCGTGTGCTGGTATCTTATCGCTGATAAGATAGACAATTGCGGAAGATAAGAAATGGGCAAGACACAAGAACTGCTATTCGAATCCTGAGTAAGGAAAGCAATTATAAAGCATTTAGGGTCTTGTTATTGGTGTTAAGGACTAATTGGCTTATACAGATGAGGTTATTTGAGACACATCGTCGCTGAACATGAGAGATAGTCCTACGAGAGATAACTCAAACTCCGACAGAATAGAAGTCGAATATCTTGAAACTATGCTCCAATGAGGGCTTGGTAAAGATATATCTTCTCTATACCCGGTAGATCGGCAGTTCTTAGCCCTGTAGATCCCACTGCTGTTCAGGTCGCAAGGTCGCGTTAGGCCGTCTTTGTTCCGGCAGCGGGCCCTGTCCAGTTACTTGTTTAAGCTGGGCCATGGATCAAGCAACTGAAGGCGTGTGGTGCACTAAATAATTATAAGATAGAATATTCATTTTCGTTCTAAGGGCCTAGATACTTCTATTGCTCTGTTTGGAGCCATGGACACTGAACCCGGATCAAAATGGACGCACCTCCAACAAGAGCCAATGAAAGGGTGGCCGGAAATGAATGGGATGCCAGAAGACGCCAGAAGAATAGGTACAGAGGCACATCACGAGATGGAAGCGCAAGCCGCCAATCAATCAGATCATTCTTCTTTGCTCAATAGCAAGCCATGAAAATCGCGGAGGTGATATCATGCCTGTCACTTCCATCCAATTCCCCAAGTCACACGATGGCACACGAGCAGCTGAACACCAACAAGACAAAGATAAGCATTTCGCGATGTCATCATGCGGAAATTTAGCATTTCAACGTATGGGGTCGAATCGTTTAGACGCTCAAAGGTGATGATGGTTGCCAGTCACGGTATGCGGTACAAAAGTGTACATCCAAGTAACGAGACTTGTGGCAGAATGAGATGTTGTCGCAGCGCCATTTGCACTGTGATGATGAGGGGTCTCGAGATTGTCGTCCAACGTTACCATTTCGACCCCGCGATGGTTCAACATGACGTTGATCAGCATCATATCATCGTGAGGTATGGGAGGGATGACGACACGAGGGATGAGAGCGGGAGTTATATGAAGCTGCCATCCCAGCACCGTATTGCTGCTCCAGACTTACTCTAAACACCAAGAGACTTATAAAACATATCACAATACAGCAAGACAAGAACATCATGTCAGAGAGAAGACATTCTGGCCCAAAGGCCCCGACTGGTCTCAATGATGAGACGGCCGAAGAGGTCCACGACATCATGCACCAGGCCGAAGTGGAAGAGCAAAAGGTATGTCGCTGTGATTGAGGGAGTACATATACTAACAAGTAATAGATGCACGGAAAAGATGCGCTGTGTCAGGATGATGTTGGACCAAGTGAGGAGGGAGAACAAAAAAAGAAGTCGGCGATGGGCAAGGTTAAAGAGGCGCTGAATCTGGGCAAATAAATGTTGCGACAACGAAGGTACTCGACGATGGGAATACTTTCTTATGTCGGCGTTGATACTAAATTGTTACATTAATTGATCTGAGTTATTTGCTTACAACGCGGAATTAATTGCTCAATTGAAAGGGTATAGAACAAAACACTGGGGTATCTTGACATTATCATCCTCCGCCATCATCAGCATCACGCATCACAACCCAAGAACAAGACACGCCGCAAGCAAAACAACAATCGCCAAAGCCGGGCTATTCAACTCCATCGCACCATCCTCATCCACTGGCTTCCCATCAGCAGCGCTCACCTTCTCACCACTAGGATACCGAATATTAACAACCGCCTCCCCCTTCAACTCATCCGGCACGCCCATCGTATGCGGACACTTAGCCTGGTTCTGCGCCGGATAATCCAACTCACACGTCTCATCATGTCCAAGCGTACATATCGAGTCGAGAATATTGTAAAGAACGTAATTATCGCCCACCCACGTACTCTCATTCCGATCGAGGCACGACGTTAAAAAGTTCATGCTATTCGCTGCGCTGAGCGGCAACCTGCTCTTCTTTGTATGTATTAAATCGGAGCACTTGGATGCATCGACGTTGGAGTATGTCATCTCGACGGGACCGCCGGCCGTGGGCTTGTCGGTGGCAGAGTAGCCCGTGTAGAGGTAATTCCACGCATCGTAGCTAACGTCGTAGGCGCCTTGGGATTGATCCACGCGGAGGAGGTGCACGGTGCGGCCTTGGTACGTGAGCGCGATGCAGATGTTATTACAGTCGACGGAATACGGCCAGTAGGCGATGCGATTCGTGTTGACCTGCTGATAATTAGCCCGGTTCAATTGGCGCAGTTAATGTCGCGTACTTTGCACCCGAGGACGCCGATTGACGAGGAGTAACTATCATGCGGCGTCGCCCAAACCGTGCCGCCGTCTGACTTGCGCGCGGAGGTTAGAGGGATGAGGAGGGAGTGGACGAGCAGCGAGAGCCGCAGCATTTTCGAGGGAGTGAACACGCCTGACGTAGGGCGAGAGGAATGAGTGTGATTGAAGGCATTTTCTTTTTTTGCGACAGCCACGCGAGGGAAAACGGGGGGGAATGGTATTAGGGGTCTGGGGGGAGGGAATTGGACCTGATCTTTACTGGATTGAGATTAAGCATTGATTACGGGCATGGCGTTAGGCTGTTTTGGGGATGATATGGCGAGAGGGACAGGGGTTGGAATGAGTTGTTTTTTTCTTGATCTCGGCACTTCGGGAGCCCATCCAGCGGAATATATTCACAATGTGCGTTATCTCGAGGCTCATTCAGTTGTGAATGTATCGTAGAACATATTGAAGTGAAACATGAAGAGTTGGTGAAATGTCTCGATTGTTTAATTACTGGCATGCGACACTGAACGTACTGACTTGACCAAAAACACAAATGATCCTCTCACCCACAGACCAACCATCCTCCACAAAACATGACAGTCTCAAGCCCCGTATCTCGCATCATGATCCCCCATTCAAGCCCACCTCCACGAAATGCCCCTCTTGGCAGGGCTGAGCTACAGAAACTAAATCCGACTAATACGCGTTGACGTCGACGCCGCAGAAATGCTGTTTTAGTCTCGGGACATGATCCCTCGTTTAGACCGTGTTCGTGATGCCAAGATGGGGGCCATTTTAGATATTCTGCCTATATAACAAGCGAGCAATTACCCCAAGAATCGTTCACGTTCACAGCATCTTAGTTCAGTGCATCGCACACAATGACTCGTCTTTGTAATCTTATCGCCTTTCTCATCCCTTCTGTTCTTGCTGGCTCTGTGCCCAAGACTTGCAAGGCATACCCTGGGTCTTCAGATTGGCCTTCGCATAAGTCGTGGTCTCGTCTTAATGATACTTTAGACGGAAGGCTCTTTGCGCCTGTTCCTCCGGGAGCTGTTTGTCATAAGGGCTGGCCGTCTTATGATGAAGATACTTGTCCCAAGGTCGCTGAGGCATGGAAGCATTATGATCTTCACACGCAGGACCCTGTCTCTCTGATTTATGATCAGTATTCGAACTGGACCTGTCTTCCGGATGCGAGTTATCCGTGTAGTGGAAGTGGATATCCTGCTTATGTTGTTAATGTTACCAAGGCGGAGGATATCAAGGCGGGAGTCGACTTTGGTAAGTATTCCACAATTTAACAATTTAACAAGAGCTTTGCTGATGAATGATAGCTCGGAGGAACAACATCAGACTCGTCGTCAAGAACACTGGCCATGACTACATGGGCCGTTCTATAGCCCCAGGTTCTCTCTCCCTCTGGACTCACCATCTCAAAGACATGACCTACCACAAAGGCTCCTTCAAGCTTTACAACTCCAAGACTGTCATCACCGGTGATGCTGTTACTGCCGGCGCAGGAACCCAAATGTATGATCTTTACACTATGCTGGATAAGTATGGACGCGTTGTTGTAGGTGGTGGCGGAAAGACTGTCGGCCTCGGAGGCTATGTCACCGGAGGCGGCCATTCTCTACTATCGACTAAACATGGCCTTGCAGTTGATCAAGTCCTCCAGATGACTATTATCACACCATCTGGGAAGATTCTGACCATCAATGAAGATAGTCATGCCGATCTCTTCTGGGCAATGCGAGGAGTAAGTCAGCTACCATTCAACTACCCATTTCTACCACCCATTTCTACCACCCATTCTTACTACCCATTGTACTAACAATATAGGGCGGCGGCTCAACCTTCGGCATCCTCACATCCATTACAATGAAAGTCTACAAAACTCCCAAAATCACCGCATCAGCCTTCACAATCGGAACATCCGCCGCCGCACCCTTCAAATACGATCTCCTCGCCTACATCCTCTCCCAATTCCCCTCTTTATCCGACGCCGGTCTTTCAGGCTATACCAACCTCAGCCCCCAAACACCCAACCCCGCCGGCGGCACCGACGAAGTAGCCGGGATCCAGGGTGTCTTTGCGGCACAGGACGTCAACGACTCAGAGTACATTCTCAAGCTGTTCAAGCCGATCAATGATACTATTCAGAAGCGGTGGCCGGGGGCTGTGCAGTTTAGTGCGACGAAGGAAGAGTATGGTTCGTTCTTGGAGTGGTATGATGTTTATTTTGATCAGGGCGCCGCGGGGGTTACGCTATATCTTGCTTCGAGATTGTTGGGGAGGGAGGCGCTGGGTGATGAGAAGTTTAAGGGGGCCTTGGAGGAGAGTTTGGATGCTGCTGGGGGGTTGACGGTTCATTTGATTGCTGGGAAGGGTGTTAGGGATGCGAAGCCTAGAGGAGGGAGTGCAGCTGTCAACCCGGGTTGGAGGAAGAGTTATATTCACGCTAGTAAGTTGAAGAACCTTGAGAATCAGTTTGATGTTTACTAACGAGTCTATCAGTATCCGGGGAGTCCTTTGAGCCTTTCAACAAGACTTCTGAAGCTGAGGCCGTCAAGAGGTTGAATGCTTCCATGGAGCCGTTTCGCAAACTGTCTCCGGACACAGGTGCTTATATCAATGAGGTAAGACTCTATACTACTAGATGGAATACTTGTTTAACATGCGCTAGGCTCTTCCTTTCGAACCAGACTGGCAGCATGCCTTTTGGGGCAAGAACTACGAGAGACTTTTATCGATCAAGAGGAGCGTTGATCCTGGTGATGTTTTATGGTGCTTTCCTTGCGTTGGAAGTGAGAAATGGGCACAGAAGGACAATGGTCGTCTCTGTCGAGTCAAATGAGTCTGCGATAGGAACATTGGCAAGGCTTGTAAGTGGAGTTGAGTTTTGTTGATACTGATCAAGTAGATATATGACCAGGATAGTTTATGTTTATCGCTTTGGTTCGCAAACGGCAATAAACGGTGAAATGACACCTGTCAAAAATTAGCCATGTCACAGATAGATGACCATATAACTTACTACTCAAGAAAAGCCTTCCAGTCTTGACATCATGCACAACAGTCGTAGCAGCTGGCAAAACTTCCCCGTTTGCATCCTCAAGCACTTTCTCAACAACATACTCCCCCTCCACTTTCCTAACTCTCAACACAGTACTAGGCGGATGAGCATTGTACGGGTCATTATAAGCTTTGAAGATCTCAACGCCGATTGGAAATGCAGCGATCCATATATCACCATTCTCATCGATCGATGCGTTATCAACACCATAGCCTAGATTAACCTCGTCGATCTTTTGGAGGTCTTTGTTAGGAAGGATGCGGTAGATGTATAAACGGCCTGTTATGGATTCGGGGACGTAGAGGATGTTGTCTTTTATGACGAGACCATTTGGGAATTGGAGGTTTGGTGCGACGGTTTTGCAGGTTTGAGTATCGCAGAAGGTTACGTCGGAGAAGCCTAGAATCAAGGACAAATGATGTCGCTGCCTTGTTAGTATACGCTATGAAAGAGGTATTGGCATATTTACCCAGCCGAATTTATGAGGACCGTGATCATTGCTGATATAAAAAGAATGATCACCCAGTGCTGCAACACGATTTGGAGTCGCAATTCCTTGGTTAGCATATGTCCGAACATGTTTCATCTCCGTCGCTTGAGGGCCAGTAACAAAGTGCTCGATGGTCGCGTTTCCACCATGAACATGTTGATCTAGCAATTTTCCGTCTGCATCAATCGAAGGCCGCAGATTAACGATAAAGAAATCAATCTCGCCATTTTTTTGCTCGACGCCAGAGAAACCAGCGACGTTGATGAGTCCATCACCAGCAGTACCCTCAAACCCAAGTGTTTTCAGCGCTCGGAACTCAAACCCGTTATCAATCGGCTTATCGATATCCAGCGCAACGATAGCGTCGCGCTGCGATCGACCCGAAACATTGCGATACCCAACACTGCACAATTAATTACACTGGGAGTATAAATACATTTGGGAGAAACACACTTTGGCTGCCATTGCTTTCGTGCAAATGGATCTGAACACGCGAGGAACAATTGGCGCGTAGATTGGGATAAGTACATGTCCTCGCAAGCTTCCAGCCGATGATGCACGATCTTACGGCATTGGTAGGGGAATTCGCTGAGGGGTTGGATGGTTCTGTTTATGCCGAAACCAAGCCATATTGCTTCTTTGAGGTAGATCTGGAAGAGGATTGCCAGACTGGCGATGGCTGCGACGCTGATTTTGGTGAAGATGGTCATTTTGAGGATGTTGGTTATGGTGATTGAGACAAGAGAAAATAAAATTAGGATATGGTTCGATGAAGGATGTGCATCCTAGGCGATTGACACAATCGCTACTGTCATGGTCGCTACTGTCATGGTCGGATGAATGCAAGCCGACAGTTTCGGGAGAGTCATTGCTGCATTCAAGTCACATCTTCAATTCATCCAAATACATCACAGAGAGTGCCTCAATCATACTGCATCCCCACCAAACATCACTAAGTTAATAAGGCTGTCATAAAAAGTCAATGTCGTATAAATACATCCAATCGATGTAAATATCCAATCTAAGAATAATACGCTTCTAGAAGCAGACAGATACAAAATAAAAGGGGAAATATTATCATCCCATATCTACCATCGCAAAAAGTATCTACGCTTCACCTTATTAAAAAAGTATTAAATGCCTCTCATCCATTCATCTCCTTTTTACAGAGCTGCCACAAATGCGCCAACGATAAACGCCGCAAGCCCTGGGACGTTCCATGCGCTCGCGCCGTTGACGATCGCGGGGCTGGTGCCCGTTGGCTCAGAGGGTGTTGAGTCAGCGGGTGTGCCTGTTGGCTTGACGACGGTGGCGACAGTGTTGGGGGGTTGGGCGTAGACGTGTGTGGGCTGGTAGGTGTGAAGCTCCTCGAGAGGGTTGCCGCCGGTGGGCTTGGAGGCGGTGCCAGTGGGCTCAGGGTAATCTTGTGTAGCGTGGCCCTTGGTGGGTTGCTCATAACCTGGCTTGGTGTAGTGACCTGTGAAAGTACCGTTGTTGTGATTGTTGGAGCCAGGAGGTCCGCAGGTGGTGCAGTGGCCGGGAATAGGAGTGGGCTTGGGCGCCTTGACGACCGATGTGATGGTGACGGTGCGATATCCCTTGGTAGTAGCCTCCTTGCAGCCAAAGTTTCCAAAGCCGCATTGGATAGCTTCGGGAATGGTGAACACGCCGGTGGGTTGCTCGGGGTTGATGATCTGCGTGTTGTGAACAATCTCGGTGGTGACGTCGCCCTTGTTGCAAGAGCCGGAACCGGGGCAGGATGTGATGGTGTACACATGGGTCGATGTGAGGGTCGATTTGACGGGTCCCTTGGTGGGCTCAGGAGCAACGCCTGTAGCCTCGGAGCCGGGGCAGTACGTTGTGAGAGAGGTGATGATCTCGGTGGTGACATGGCCGACAGGGCAGTCGGTGACGCTGGGAGGGCAGGCAGTGACCGTGTAGACCTTGCTGGTTGTGACGGTGGAAGTGATGGTTGTAGAGGGAGCAGAAGTAGTAGGGAGAACATAAGTGTTGCCAGATCCGCCAGTAGAGGTTGCATTAGGCTTGGAGGTGGTGAAAGTAGTGTTGGAGTAACGAGTAGTAGAGAAGGAAAGGGTAGTATCGGCAGTCGTCTCAGCAGAAGAAACGGACTCGGTGACAGACTCAGAAGCAGTCTCGGTGGAAGTAGGAGCTCCAGAAGTGGTGGTAGAGTCAGAGCCGCACTCGCCAACCAAGTCAGGCACGGCATCGGGACCAGTGCCGATAGCGACGAGGTTAGTACCGCAGTCCTCGTTGTTAGCGAGCCAGACATTCCTGTTATCCCAATCGTACACGACATAGGCAGCGCGGAGGAACGTGTCGCCGAGGACGGGGAACTCATCGTCCTGGAAGACACCGAGAACGCAGCGGTCGTCGTTGTGCCAGATAAAGTCGGCGTACGGGACCTTGATGACGGTGTTGCCGAACTTGAAGTCGACGGTGCCCTTGAGATCGGCGACGGAGCAGTCGACATCGACGTAGGCGCCGGGGGTTCGCTGGGCGGTGGGGAAGGCTGCGACGATCTTGTTGAAGATGGCGCCGGGGAGGGCGCTGACGGTGTATCCGCTGTCGAGGAGGACGGGCTGGCCGTTTGTCTGGGAGAAGATTGCGTCTTCGGAGCCGTCGTCTTGGATGATGCTAATACCGTCGAGGTGAACCCAGTAACTGGTATTGTTAGACGGGCGCACTCGTCAATTGATAGAGCGCGAGGGGACTTACCGGGTGAGACCATCGGGGGAGGACTCGGCGGGGATGATGGGGCGCTTCTCCAGACGACCGGTGTATTTCTTGGTGTCGAGACCGCCAAAGATAACGGCGCCGCGATCGCTATCGAGAGTGCGAATGTCGAGACTCAATGCGCGACTCTGGATAAGGCCCTGCTTGACCATGCTGTCAATCACGAGAGGGTACGGCGCATCCCAACCGTTCAGATCAGGCGCAGCGCCCATGATACCAACGCTGGTAAAAGAACTATCGTACGCGACACCGAAAACCTGGTTACGAATATTCGCAGCTAAATCCCGTCAGCACAAAAAAAAACCCATGTCTCAGCGAGGAATGCCAGTCTCACATCCAACGACAACATGGTCGTAGCCATAGTTCCAATAAGCATACCCAGTGCCGTAGACAACGCCGCCAGTAGTGTTGAGGTTAACCCAAGTGCTACTCTCGCCGAAATGACCAAAGGATTGGCAAAACGCGGGCTGCTGCGCCTTGGAGCACACGGGGTTGACCCAGAGCTCTGCGGAGCCCGTGTCCAGATTGACGGTGACCTTCTGCCCCGGCGTGCCGAGCTCGACGTCAATGCTGTAGAAGAAACCGTTCTGCTGGCTCTCGAGAGCGACTTCGTTCTGGCGCTTGGTCACGCCTTTTACGACGGGCGCGCCGGTGGAAACCTTGAGGGGGAAGCGGATAAGGCCATCTTCTGTGGGAGCGACAGCGTGAGCCAGCGCGGGGGCCGCGAAGGCGAGGAAAAGAGCGGACAACATCTCCAATCAATTGAGACGTTTTGGTTAATCGGGAATAGAGGAAGAAAAAAAAAAGAGACAGGGGAAGGAAATAAGATGGGAATTTGTTAACCCGGCGTAGAGAGTGACCGGGGAAACGAAACAATTATAACCACCAAAGAAGATGGTGAATTGGAAGAGAGGTTGGAAGGACTAAAAATGGAGAGGGCGGGAATTTTTCTGTGTTGGTGCCGTTTGTTTCTATATGAAACCCAAGCTTGCACTGCAACATGCAGAGCTAAGGGGGCCTTGTCTTGGATGATCTGTGCCTGGCGCTAATCTCACAGGGAGGGGGGGGGCCTCGTGTAGCGCCAGGTCATTACAAGCGGGTTCTTAAAAATAAGATGACGTGGAAAGCAAAAAAGAGGGGAAATAAAGAAAAGACAAAGGATGGGAATATTAAATATCTTTGTGGATATATACAAAGCGCCCTTTGTTTAATCTCTCAGCTGAAGGGTTGTTTTATCTGCAGAGGTGATAAATACGAGACTCCCTTATGCGCTGTTCCCTTGTTAGGGGTCACGTCAGCTCCGCAGTTGAGTAGGTGCGGGCTTAGCGCCTTGCCATTATGAGATTAGCTATCCCCCCCGCCGTCGTATGGAACACACACACGCAGTTAAATACGGGGTCTTGTTATTTCCAGATCCCACCCGATCTTGAGTTTGAAACAGCGCACGGGATGAGCAGCTTTCCCTGAATTAAACGCGTCCCGAGACATTGACACCTCGGATCCCGTGTTTGTCTTGCAGAGGTTGGGAATAAGGTCACGACAGATTTGTTGGTGTACCCGCTGGGGAAAAACGGCGTGCAGCGCCACGTCGACTCCCGTAAGCTTTGACGAAATGTCACCCTGTCGATGCAAGCCACAATCTGTGGTGCGCCGTTGGGTTAGTGGTGCCGGAGAAGGTTATCGCTGGTGGTTTGATTGAGATCAGCGAGTTGGATGGAGGGAAATGAACGGGGTTGGGTTGGAGGGTGTTACACCGTTGTAAGCGCAGTTGTCGATTGACAGTCTTGCTGTAGAGGGATTGGTGTGGAGAGAGGGATTGGTTGGTGTTTTTGTGCTCGGCCGAGATGGTCGGGAGATGGCGGGGCGGTTGGGAACCTGACGATCTCGAGAGCGCTTTTTAACATGAAACGGTAGAGCCGCATTAGCTCATGGACATATCTGTGAGGCTCGTATGTTAGTATTCTGTATATATAAATAAACAGACATTGCGTTTAGAAACCTTGAAAACACATTAATTCTTATTTATCGCGGAGACGCTTTGGATGAAATGCTGGTGAAAAGCCCGCTGGTCAGATCCTGATTGCAACAGTGAATCAATTCTTGTCACACAAAATAATCAGTGTTTGACTCAACCTCTTTGTATAACCCCAGCCATCGAACCAATTCTGCATCAAGACATCCTCTAACATGATGTTTTACGAGATAATAACTTGCAACGTGAGACCGAGACATAGACTCATGTGTCCGTGCTACCCTGCAGTTCTACCCGAGCCCATGCTGTGAAGCCTCAATGCGACCGAGACACGTGTTGACCATGAGACCAACAATCTCCGATCCTCAACAAGACACTCCAAATAATCTTATTCATCTCCCGCCAACCCACCACTGTCTAGGGAATTCCATGCCCCATTTTCGCATCAACACTCTCAACTCATCCTCCGTCCCCGGCACAACATTAATGAGAACCCGTCCACTATCTCCCTCACTCATACAAGGTTCCGAATGCACAGCTCCAAACTCCCTGCCAACCTTAAACACAGAGCATTCACCTATCTCAGCTGCTTCTGCACCAAAAGGCTCAAGTACAGTAGCTAGTTCATCGCGCACAGCATCTGCTGCAGCTGCACAGCCAACACAGCGAATTGACACACACTCATGCTCCGTGCTTGCAGCGTCACGAGCGGATTCTTGTGCTTTGCGTGCAAGAGGTTGATGGGATGCTGGTATGAAGAGCGTTGAGGGGCCGAGAAGCGTAGTGCAGATCTTGAAGTCTGTTCCGGTGGGTTGATGATGTTTTTGGTGTTGTGATTTGAGACCTAGGCGTGTACCGGGGAGTATATCTTTGGCGAAGAAGAGTTCGTCGGTATGCCATCTTGGTTGATCAAATTCGCGTGTCGGCGTCGTGGCGCGTATAGTAAGGAAATAATGCTTAAATCCCTTGTCGAGGAGAACACTCTTGATATAGTTCAGAAAAGGGTCAAGTCTTGAGCGAATAGGGCCAGTGAAGACTTGGCTCTCAAAGTCGTACAAGTTGTCCGGTAATGATGACTTCGAAGGGTCGAGGAGAGGACCGCAGTAGCACCAGTAGGCGGAGCGCTTGACGGTTATCGAGTCTTGGTGTTGATCGGCATCGTCAAGATACTTCAGAAACCCGAACTCCCTGTCAGAATATGTATCTACGGCTGTCATGATCGTTATATGAGAGGACTAGTAAGGAGAGGAATGGGCAACGTTGGTTGAGCGGTCAAATGGTGTGAATTCTTCTCGTCGCTTACTGGTGACTAAGCAGGCATGAAGCCGAAAGAGGCCTCATGCAGTTGGCTTGTGACATCTAAATTTGTGGACGATACTGTAGTCTAAGCTGAGAAGGGGCATATACTCGCTGAAATATGTATCCGTGAGGTCAGTGAAAGTATAAATTACGCTCGATGAGTAGGCCGAGGAAAGTCCCAATTCAAGCTCTTCACAACATACAACCCAGTTCATTCACACAACGAGGAAGCGATTCGGCGGGCACCATTGAATGAAGATTTTGGTAGCGCTTGATGGAAGAGAGATATAGGAATGAACAGGTATCGTTGTTCTACATACAACGCTGTCAAGATCTGGCACATAAGACATCGAACTGTTGCCTCTCTTCAACTTCCGGACGCAAGTACGATGTGATGATTTGATTAGTTGGTAGTCTATATTAAAATCTCATAAAAACATAAAACACTATTCTCATAGAAAAATCCATTATTTTTTTCAATGCACAACTCCTCTATCCAGTCCAAGAATGCACCATCTCCACAAACCTCTCAACCTGCGCCGCCTCAGTAGCCCACGTCGTCAACAATCTAATAACAGCCTCATCATCACCACACTTTTCCCAAACATAAAAACTAAAACTCTCCTTCAGCACATTGATCAAACTCATCGGCAACACCGCAAAAACCTGATTCGTCTCCGTCGCAGCATATACTGAAAATCCTCCCTGCGCTATACCGCTCGATAACAACTCAGCTGCCAAGTTTGCCTTGCGCGCTAGTTCAAAGTACAGATCGTCTTCAAAAAGCTCTGCGAATTGTGCGCCGATGACACGCCCTTTTGCGAGGAGGGAGCCGTGCTGCTTGACGTAGAATTCGAATTCTGAGGAGAGGCGGGCGTCTTTTACGACGACTGCTTCGCCGAGGAGGGCGCCGTTTTTGGTGCCGCCTATCCAGAATATGTCTGTGAGTTCGAGGATGTCGGAGAGGGTCATGTCATTTGCTTTGGAGGCGAGGGCGGTGCCTATGCGAGCGCCGTCGAGGAAGAGAATGAGGCCGTTCTTTTCGCAGACTTGTTTTATAGCTGCGAGTTCGGCGCGAGAGTATATCGTTCCGATCTCGGTGGCGTTGGAAATATACACCAGTCGCGGTTTCGCCATGTGAGGAAAATGCCAATTGTCATCCAGTGCCCGCTCGATCGTCGCAGGCGTGAGCTTTCCATTATGCGGTGTGACGTTGATGATTTTGTGGCCGCTTGCTTCTACTGCGCCTGTTTCTCTCGTCACGATGTGCCCGGAGCTAGCAGCGATGACGGCCTCGTGGGGTCGGAGACATGCGGCGATGGAGATGGCATTGGCTGATGTACCGCTGGGCACGAAGAATATCCCGACGTCGTCGCGGCCGAGATGGCGACGGATTCGCTGCCGTGCGAGATCGCAGTACGTATCGCCTCCGTAGCCGGTCTCTTGGGTCGTGTTGCTGGTGATCAAGGCCTTGAGAAGAGCGGGATGTGCACCCTCGCTATAATCGTCCATGAAACTATAGCGAGGAATTGCGGTTGGTATTTGGGACGGCATTTTGACGATGGATTAAAATGGTGTAGATGACGGTTGAGATGGTGCTGTACTAATTCTGGCATTTCTATATAGATGATTTCATCCCCACTCGATGATCCACAGATGAATCACAGAATCGAGGTGTTAGTAACTGACGTGTTAGTCAAACCCATCGTGGTGGGTCGTTTACTCAACATTCCATTACGCTCCCCGAAACTTTACCAAGCCCAAATGCGCTAATAATGCCGTCCTCACACGGTTATCGCATCATGTGAGGAGCTTAAAGATAACGAGAACCGGCCCGGTTGGTTGGATCACGGGGACATTGATATCGTATTCGCAGCGTCGAGGGAAAAATCGATAAAGCTTCGATAAGTCTCCACAGTAGAAGAGTCGAGCGGTTTCGGGTACGTGAGGATCTTTTGATACTTTGGCTTCAGCGGCATTCCCGTCGCCGTGACATCGCTGGCTTGGTCCCAGAGCTCAGGATACTTTTCGAAGAATGCGGGGTCGATCTTGTAGTAGCCCGCGCCCTTGTCCATGTTCAATTTGTTAAATGCAGCGCGGGCATAAGCAGGTGATGAGAATAGTGTTGAGATGTCTGGGGCGGGAAGCATGGCGATTGTGTTTTCGGACTCGGATGGTGCGGAGGACATGGTGTTGATGAGGTCTGTCACACGTACGTAGACCGTTATCTGCGGGGCACCTAGGACGAGATCTGACATGAGCGCCTCGACGACGTAGCCGGTTACAGCGTCGCAGAAGATTTGGTCGATGTGGGGATTTGCAGAGTGTAGCTGGATTAAACGATCGCGGATTGTAGCGAAGGGGATCCAGTCGATGATGCCGGGGTGAGGGTTCTCGAGCTGTGCGGGTGTAGGGCGGTAGCGCGGATGGAGTTTGTTGAAGGTTGCGGAGGAGGGGTAGAGTTGCCAGGCTGTGAGCTCGATGATGTGGTAGAAGCGTGTTTTGGCGTACCATGCCATTACGTCTGGACGGGTCATGCTGTTGAACATGGATAAGACCATGAGGACTGGTTGGTAGACACTGAACATGTTAGGAGACTTGAAGATGTTGCGAGGGGGATGTATACCTCTGCACAGGATTATGACCTTCTGGAACGAATCCAAGGGTATTGAGCTTATTCTTAAGCATTCGTTGAAGTAATTGGATATGATCTGAGAATGGCGAATTGGTAAAAGAGTAGTCTTTCCCAAGGACTAGACTTGACTCGGCTGTTGCGCTGATGGCGGTTAGATAAGGCTGCATCCCCATTTGATACTCATGACTCCAGATGTTCGGGATCTGAGAGTAGAATGGGCTTGTGCCGGAAACGTTGATGAGCTCTGATGAGATGCCATTGTCTGTTGATGCTGGAATCAATCGTTAGCCTGGATTCATAAGATGAGTGCTGATACTCACCCGTGACGCTTGATGATGAAAACGACGGATCAAACTCCAGGATCGACGGATCAAACTCCAGATCAATCGACTGCAACGCAGACTCTTCAACAATCCGTTCCTCATTCCGATTATTTCCATTCAGCTGCTCATCTCTTTCTCTCTCACTGTCCCTCTGCCGCTCACCCCCCTCACCACTCGCAGTATCATCAAGCGTCTTAGCCACCGAATCACTCAACAACTGCACCGACGCCATCATCCGTGACATCTTCGTCTGCACATCAATCAACTGCTGTCTCAGCAATTTATTCTCCTTCTGCAGCGCTTCTACGCGCTCACTGTCAGATCGCTGGTCTGCGTTCACGCGGTTCTTGAGCTCGCGGATACATTCTGCTTGTCTGCGACGAAAGGCTCGTTGCGATAAGCGATTGCGGAGTTTTCTACCTTTTTGTCAGCGAGGATGGAGAGATTTTCGGGGGCTGGGGGGAGACGTACTTTCGTTCTTGTTCTGTCAGGGTGGTGTTCTTTTCGTCTGGGTGAGGTGAGTCCATGATGTCTTGTCTCGGTGTGCAGATGCTCGCTCAGCTTGACAGGGCTTGGATCTGGATCTGATCCCGGGACCGGCATTTGAGAGTTGGAAGTGGAGAGGGGCTTGTTCATTGGAGGGTGATGCTTGGAGCGGCCTTTTGCGGTTAGGAACGGTGAGTTTGGGCCGTCGTTGGGGCTCTTCCCCACTGAAGCTTTTAGGGTTGGGGAATAAGCCGCTGATACCATGAGTCTTAAATTATATTTATAATATATTTTATTTAATAATATATCTAAATATTATATTTAACCCCTAAATTATCACGCTATATAAATAACTATAATCAGGACTATATACTAATTTCTTTATAGTTTAAAAGAAAGCTATAAGGTATAATAAAAAAGAATACTCTATTACCTAGACATTCTATACAATCTTTATGGATGATGGCGGCCTATAAGGTTAAGCTTTAGGCTGCAAACACAGATAATGAATGACAACACGATATTTTTTTTCCCGATATAAGCTTTTACCCAGAAGCTCTATATAATCTTTATCTCGCGTTCCTCCCCATCTTTTAAACATTTATATATCCTGTCAGCTCGCTCGCCACAATGAGGCGTAAGCATTCCAATACGTTCATAAGCTCCAGGATGTCTCCTCGATGGTATAGTAACCATAGCCCTAGGACAGATATGTTCACGACCTTCTAGATCTGGAGAGAACTCGTAAGACCCAAGTAGAATTAGTGTAATAACCTGCCCTTCAGCTTCTTCTCTGCCACGGTCCCAGGCACAGCTGTAATCTAGCAACAGTATGCTTGTAGGGTCTTCTGGATAGACCTCGGCGACAAGTGTCCAGAGGATAATATAACCATCTTTGACAGCTCCCATTTCGTCCTTTCCATCTGGGACGCAACAGGAATCAACTACCTTGGCATACTTCGTTGACATGCTTTGGTAGTTAACTGGAAACTCGAATTTAGCCGAAACAGGTTTTTGGTTTTCCAAAGTATACCCCAGCGCAAACGGAGACCAAGAAGGTGCCCTATAGTCTTTCCAAGGGTGTATCTGTTTGAGTGTGTCAAAACGTATCCATATTAATGAATCCAAAATGTCATCTTGCCACAAACCCGCAAGGTAAACTCCAGCGCCTCGAGATTTCCATAGGTGTGCAAGTCCTGATAGGGCTGGGAGTCTGTCAGACTCATAGGAAAGTTTCAAGCGACAAAACGCTTCGAGTAAGCCAATCCAAGACCTATGTAGTGTGACCGAGCCACTGTAGTAGTATTTGGAGAACCTAAAGAAGTGCGCACCTCTCACCAAGTTGACGGTTCTTTCTTCTTTCGGTGCCTCGTCAACTTCCATACATTCGCATTTAAGAGAATTAATGCATTCCCATAGTAGCTCATTGCTTGTAAAATGCACTATTCTCCTTGGTAATATATTTTCTTGCAAAGCCCAAGCCCGGTAATTTAGCGGTGAGTGTGTTACCGTAGCGTGGTGACGCGCGAATGGCCCATGTATGCCTAAGTCCTGAACGTATATCTTGGAAACAGTAAAATCTGGGTTTCGGATTTGTCCTGTATATACTGGCGTTTCTGTTAAGGGCGGCGGAGAATAACCGGGACCCTCTTTTTGGTCCCTGCGATCAAGAAATCCTTGACATGAGTCACTTGCTTGAGTTGCGGCGAGAACCAGGTAAGCATCGCGATATATAGATGCCATCTTGGAAGACTCAACCTGCCAGTCGTTGATATCGTCCTGCACGATGCAAAGCGAGTCGATCCAAAGGTAACGGATGCCGATCCCGCGAGTAGCTGTTACAGCATCTTGGAAGTTCATTGGAAGATCCTGGAAATTGATTCCTTTCTGATGGTCTTGAAGCGTAGAAGTCGTCGTCTTTAGTTGTATACCGGTATTCCCCCAACAGTGGCTGAGAGCAACATAGGGGGCCACTTTGTCTGAAGAGATGTGAAGGAATAACTGCTTTGCTGTCTCAGTCCCAACGTCTAAGACACGTTTCGGCAGTAGCGAGTCAGAGACTATGCAGTCTTTGTGACTTGAGTTACAGTCCTCTAACCAGCCAGCTAGTAATGGCCGATACTCGTCTCGGCGATTCTTGAGAAAGAGATTCCCAGGCCGAATGAAATCCCAGGCAGGCGTGGGTGTGCCACTGAGATAGAACAGTCTTGATACCCAAAAGATATCTTCGAGGTGCGATTTTGGTTTGAAGATAAGAGTTATAGTCCCTGGAGTGTCGTTGTTAAATTTGATTGACTTTTCTCTTCTGTGGTAGCGAAGTGCGGTTTTTTCGATTAGGAAACATTTAGGACATCCCGACTCTGCGCTCTTCTTAATCTCTTCTACCTCCACAAATTCGTTGCCTTGACATACTCCGTTGCATTGTACCGGAGTGTTGGGCCAAGATATATCGAACAATTCCATGATGCGACAAAAGGACGAAGCGCTTTAAAGAGACACTGCATGGATAAAGCAGCAGTTAGAAATAATCGAGGATGGGGGTGACATCAGTTAGCATACAGAGTATAAAACCATACATTAAATGTCTCGTTTATGCCAAGAGAGAAGCGGGCTTTGCAAGGCCTGGGTTGGCTGATCTCCCTATATACCGCTCGCCTTACTTCATTGGGCAGCAACACATCAATTGGCTATGCTTGAGGTCGCACCCCGCCTTCAGGCATCATCAGTAGGACTTGGAGATACTCCATCAGGTGTTACCCTGTGTATAATATATCTAATTCTCTAGTATCATAGACCTGCCCTATTAGCTATATAATCCAGCCCCTGAATATTTATTAATATATAACTAGTACTATATTTTACTAT